GGTGAAAAAAATAACCCCAGTTCCTATCAAGCCCAAGGAGGTTGTTTCCTCGACCACAGTCTGTCCTGTGAGCAGCAGTGCTTCTGCAGTGCCAAAGACTAAGCTCGAAACCACCAGCAACGTCACTATGGTCAAAGTTGCACCCAAAGTCAACCCCCCTGTCCTCTTAGCGCCACCCAAGGATCCAATCCCCATTGCCCCGCGACCAGCCCAGAAACGAAAGCTAGAAGAGGAGAGCGAGGAAGAAAAGACGGATGAGGAGAAAGACAATGAAAACGAGGTGGGTCCCGGACCGGGGGCCACTAACCGCATGGTGCCCAAGCTTCCCACAACTCCCATCAACAACAGGCCCCCTGCCACAACAGTGGTGCCACAAAAACAAAATGGGCTGAACTACTGGACCAACAAAGTCCCCATTAAGATCAACACTATATCAAGAGAACAACTGGCTCTCCCCACACACACGCCTCCTCGTACCATCCCCCCTCCTCCCACCCCCAGCATTGCGCCAGTCAGCCCGAATACCCCCAGTTCTGCCAAAGTGGCCAGCCCCTCCACCCCGGTCATAGCTAAATCAAGCCCAACGGAAAGCAGCTTTCTGCCCCACTCATCCAGCCGAAGGCCACGCACACACTTGTCCTGCCTACAACTCTCCATCCTGCAGTCCTGTTACGAGACCTGTGCCCACCCTAACGCCATGGAGTGTGAGGCAATCGGCACCGAACTCAACCTGCCGCTCAAGGTGGTGCAGATCTGGTTCCAAAACACTAGAGCCAAGGAGAAGCGCTGGAGGCTGCAGCAAGAGAAAATGGTAAGCTGGCGAGTAGACTTACTATAGAGTACTTTTCTTAAAGCCTTTGGTACCAAATCACATTATAGCATATACAGTAAGACATTGATAGGTAGGTAGGTCACTGAGAAGGGGGAACTTTTTTTTTTTTTTTTTTTTTTTTTTAAGAGCTGGGTGATAACTGATTTTCAGTAGAATCGTACTACGGTTAACTTTGGGGGGGGGGACAATTAGGAAATTAACCGAATGATTTGTGCCAAATCATTGTAATTAGAAATAATCTTTTTTTTTTTCTGAGCATAGTTGATTACCTTGACATTTTGCATATATTTGCCATGTTGTGTTAGAAATGTCAGAATATTTATATTATGAAATGGATTTCAACTCTAGTGCGCAGAACATTTTTACTGTAAGAATAGTATATATATTGATTATTTTGAGTATGGTATTGCGTAGTTTTGAGTACTCAAACTGTTGCTCAAGAACACATATTATATTTGCATATAGATAGCTTGAATATTAGTCAGATGGTTCAGTCAATCCTTTTAAATGATGTGACATTAAACATATTCCCTCTCTCCCTCCCTGGTCCTGGTTCCCAGTCTCCTCTGTCAGGCGGGAAGGTGGACATGAGCTCAGGAAGCTACCTGCAGTACAACGCTCTCAAAGCCAATCGGCCCATCCTGCCCAAACCTGTTCAGCTGACAGTTACTGAACCTCCAGCTTCCCCAATGGCAGGCCAGCCAGTGCCAAAGGAGACCCTGACGGGCCACTGTGACGCCTGCAACGTCTCCTTTGAATCCCGGGCTGCAGCGAGGGCCCACGTCTTCTCCCCACGTCATCTGGCAACCCTGAGAACCACTAACTTTGGCCAGCCGACGACGCTCGTCAACAAGAATGGAACCGCTAATGGCGGACCTGGCAGTGTCGTGCCAGGCTCTCATTCCACTCCTGTAACCAGCGCTGGTTCTGGAGGGGAGATGGTTATCGAGTCGCCTCCACCGACGGCCACCAGCAACAGTTAAAGACTCAGATCAGGATTGGTCTGCACATTGACTATTCTTGGACCCATTTGGGCTCCTCAGATTTTAATAAACAAATTTGAGCACTAATCCTCAAAAGCTAATATTCTTTAGTTTTTGAAGTTGGCTCCCCCTGCACCCGCTATCCCTTGCTCAACCTTCACTGACTCAAAATCTGTTCAGCTATAGATTTCACCTGGATTCCAATACAACAGCAGACTATTTCCACGCTGCTTCACACTTAACCAGTTGCTGTTTGATAAGTGATGAACACATCTCAAGTCTCCCTCAATCCTCACACACTTTATTCAAACATTTCTGGTCCTAAGCCTGTGGTTATATATTACTGTACTTCAATGACCTTCCTATAATTTGTAAAGGCACTCAACTCGCCATGCTTGAACTGTCCTACCCTAAAGACTGATGCAAAAGTGTTTTCCTCTTTGGAAGTGGCCATTTGACGGTAGGCCCGGAAACACTTTTTGGGATAATAACACAAAATACTCACATTAATAACTCCCAGTTTGCTCCTGTGGAATTGCTTTTCTCATGCCTACTTTCACTTTTAGGGCAACGATTGCTTGGATATAATATGACTGGACAGAACCATTGGGAGAGGAAGAACTGGTATTGACTGTCACCTTTTTATTTGCTACAGGAGTGTGTGGTTTGAAGAGTGTTGTGTCCACTCATTTGGGATATAAAAAGAGGTACTTTAGAGAGAATAGGGCTGTTGAATTGTCCCCATTTACATGTTTTCACGACAATCCAAATAGACAGGGCAAAAAGAGAGGCTGAGGAAAGTAGAATCTTGGCATACCGCACTTTGACACATTTTACATTGTTTGAAATGTTTTTAAGCATTCTAATGCAAGTGTCTTTTTATGGAGAGATACTTTAATGCATGTTGGATGCCTTAATATAAATCACGTGAAATAAATTGATTTTTGCTAGTCTAATGAAAAATGCTTTAAGTGTAAGCATAATATTGTGCAAGCAGACCTGGGTATACAAATGAAGAAGAGCTCTGTTCCAAAATGCTTTTATATTCATCTTGGAGGAGGAGGAGGAGGAAGGGGAACTATCTGAATGTCATAATCTGTATCTAAAACATAGCAAATCCTGCCTGTAAAAGTTGTCAGCATTCTCTCGGCCAAGGACTATAATTACCAACTATCTTGTTTTTTTTTTTTACAACACCTTTCTTTGATCCTGTGGATTTCACTTTCCCTCCAGATGCTCTTATGTCTCATTTTGAAACGCAGCTCTTCAGACCTGTTGGGAGAAAAATCAAAGTTTTTTTCACCGACTGACCGGTGTGTTAGAAATATAACAGCCTTAAGAAGAAACACCACCAGGTATATAAATTAAAGCCCAGGTGAGCCTCGTTTTAATGTTGGTGGATTAATTTCATCCTCCCCTGGCACGGAGGGTCAGACCGTTTTTTTTTTGTTTTTTTTTGTAAATTGTTTTCTTTGCCATAAATACTGTGCATAAGACAGGAAAGTTAAGTACTCATTTTATTTACTTCAATATTTATACAAATGACAATAGAAGCAATTAAAAACTGGTGTAAAAGATTTTTATTTAGGTCAAAAGCCAAGCCTCTAGAAATATTAAGAGAACAGGGCTTGAAATGGGTTGTTCCCTGTATTTTTTTTGTTTTTCTTTCCCTCGTTTTGTTCAGTTTTGATACAGAGTTACTAATTCTGGTAATGTACGTGCTGTGAAATGAGATCTAATATCTGGAAACCATGACAAGGGAGAAAGTTGGGTATTACTAGTATTCTTATGGGACTAATGGATACTCAAAACTTGGAAGCAAATTGGGAAACATTAAATGTGTTGACTGAGAGCTAATAAGATGGTGCTGTGTTGAAGGACACATAACATACTAAAGATGTTTTCCTTCAGTTTAAGTTGTATATTAATGTTACTATTGATAGTTTTAACAAAATGCAAAACTAAAACATGAACTTTTGTAAAGAAATATATTAAAAATAACTGATATTCCAAAGTAATCCTCCCTTTGCTTTCTGTCATTCAAAAACCAAAAAGCAATCTTGAGGTCGACAGAGAGCAGGAGAGGTGTTCGTAAATGCAAACTGTAAAGGACATCCCACGGCTTGACACTTGCACTAGTCCACAATTTTTGCACAAGCTACAGACATTTCAAATGAACACCGCCATTAACACAACATTAAGAGTCACTTGGTGTGGTTTTTTTGAAACGAGGAGGGTTACAATTGTCCTTTTCGTGAGTAATAGTTTGTACTCCTGTTGGAAACTGTATCTTGTGTGTAAAGCAAGGACTGGAGTGCTTTAACTTCGAGACTGGGATTACACACACGCGCACACACACAGACACGGTGTTGCACTGTCCAAACTAGATAGGTTTTTATGGAGATCTGCTTTTTATTCCCCTATGTTTCATTGTCACTTTGATTATCACTATTGTTATAACTGTACTACTACTTATACGATTTATCATTACTACTCATCACTGTTTTTGATTATTATTGATCCATAATGGTTTTAAATGCCACCTCTGCTCAAAAACAGTATGGTATTCCTATGAATATTGAACAATAATAGTGGCAGTGTTGTTATGAATTGTTAGATTTTTGATTAAGCTTATTTTTTTCCTCCTCACTTGTACCTGCCTTTTTGTGTTTGGTCTCCATTATGCTTTCTTTGATATACAGAAAAAGAAATAAAATCAGTTGAACAACACAGGTTATCTGTCTGCTGTGCTGTAGAGGCATGTGTTTGTTCCTTTGTGTGTGTATGTGTGTGTGTGTGCGTGTGTGTGTGTGTGTGTGAGAGAGAGAGAGACAAGGGTTTAATTATTCATATAAACATTATATAATGAGGTTTTACCTGAGTGGCATACCTAGACAAAGGTCACTAAGGTCACACTGGGGAAGACAATTTATATGACCCATTCACATGTTCCTGGTATTAATTAGCTGAACAATTGGCTTTGCCTGTCTACTTACGACTGCCACAGATATGATCGACAGACGCGTAATCCAATTAAAGGCGCACATGCGATTTGGGAACCGGAAAGTCCTGTGCGCTTATCCAATGGGATCGTGGCAGACGCGAAAGAGGTTTGTCTAGTATCGCCCGCTGACCAATAGGAGCGAGAGTTGTACGCCCGCAGTGATACATGACTCCGCCCCCTGGCTTCCATTTCTGAACTGAAGGGACGCCGCCGCTCTCGCGTAGAGTCCTCGCCTTTTTTATACACACGTTTAAGTAAATAAACTAGGCTCTCTGTCGTAAATTAGGACCGTTGCGTAAACGTAGCGAGTGAAACAGCAGTCCTTGTTAATCCTGGCATGCTGCTCGAGGAGTGCCTGGAACTGTAGCTAGCGTTTTTATTCCCCATTTTAACTTTACTAAGCGGCGTTTTCCGCCGTTTTTTTTCTTTCCGCCGCCCCGCTCACTCTCCCCCCTTGTGTGTGAGTAGGGGCCTGCAACGTTGGTTTGGCCACGAGGCGCGTCGGTACAGTTGGATCAGGGCGATGGCGGAGTTCGGTAACGGACTGGCGGAGGAATCTCTACTAGATTCAGACCCCGGACATCCCGAGCTGGAAGACCCGGGTGTCGGTGACGAAGAACCGGGGTTAGAAGAGGGAGAGGCCGCGATTGAAGACCCGGTAAGTGAAGGGCATTGTTTGAGCCGTGAGAGCCCACATGAATACCGGGACACGTTATGGCGGAATCCGAGTAGTTTGTGAAAGCAGGCCGACCGATTTGATCAGATTTTTTTTTTTTTAAAACCACAAATCTTTTGGTCACATGCCGTGTGCGTTACTGCTATCGCCAGGTCGATATTAACCGCCATTGTGGTTCACGCAGTGCAGTAGAAATGGGTGGTGACATGCGTGGTGTCGGCAGCCATCTTGGCGCAACAGCGGCGCCAGTTTCTCTGCGCCAGGGAGCAGCTCCAGCCGTTGGGGGGGGAACCCTCGTCGCAAAAAAATGCGAGACGGAGATGCAGGAGACAGTTAGGGGCGAGGGTAGGACAGGCCGCCGCCATTAGCCGCCGCTGTGCGAGTCTACCCGCTTTTAGGAGGCGACCTGCTTACGGTAAAGACATTTTTTATTCCATTTACATTCAGCATTATGCTGCCTCCTGCTGCAGTTCAGGCACCGGTGTGTGCACATGCAAATGACCGAGCGCCAGCAGGCTAACATTAGCTTATCGCAAGCACCAGCATCAAGTGCTGCAACTAAGAGGACCAGAGGACCTGTCAACCGTGGGGACTTGTCACGAGTTAAAATGCGGACTTTGCACCTTTTAATGTGTTTTTTTGGGGGGGGGGGGGCTATTGGCCTGCTAGCTAGATTTACCACAATGCGATAACAGGATTTTGACTGGCTAACGAGCTAGCCGATTTTAACAAAGCTGGGGTGGAGAATGGCAGACATGCACCTGACCATCTTTGTCATTTATTTTGGACCACGGTGCGTATCGCGCATCGGTGGGACGTGTGATTCGCTGTGCCCTGCATTGTGGCTCAAGATGCACAATCAGGGTTAGTCGGCCTAATTTTAATTTTCCAACAGCACCTGCACACAAGTGCCTTTTCCCCTGGTAACGTCTATGCAGCATGTCCAGGTGGGGGTTTGAGGTTGTAGTACTGTCTGTCGGGCAGTGAGAGGCATACAACGCAGAAGCAGGGGGTTGCGGTATTTGAGGGGCTGGGTTTGCATCCTTCAGTGTTTTGCTAGGGCAAGGAGAATGAGAGAAGGGAGGGGAGTGAAAGAGCTTGCACTGAATATGCGACAAAAATGGGAGCTACAACGTGTCAGCGTCGGGTGGCTTATTTTACCAACCTTGCTGTGAATGGGGTTTACTTTCTCTGATCTCGACGTGCACTGTGATGCAGGTAGCTTGAGGTTGTTGACATTTGATGCGTGAGATTGTCAGGCACATGGATACAATGGGGATGAGAGAAATGATGGTGCCGTGATCATTGCGTGCTGTGTGTCACGGTGCAGTTTGCTCTCTCCCCTGCTGAGAAGACCCGAATTTAATGTGGTCTGTCTGCATCAGTGCACCCGCTTGTACAAAGAGCCTTTACATTACAAATCCTGTCAGCACAGGCAATAGCCCTGGATGGAGCTGGAATGACTCCCACTGTGCTGCAGTGCACCACTGTCAGACAGGAGGGTCCGCTCCCACGTGAGGACACAGCCATCTCTGTTCATCATAAGATTATTTAATTTAGTGGCAGTGATTGTTTTTCTGGTGTTCATTTTTTTCTTCGGGCCTCATGCCTGATCATCATGACTGCCTCAAATACATTTCCAGTTGTTTCAAACCGATCATTATTGAATTTCACTGGTATTAAACCTGCCAAAAATGTATGTGTTTTCTAATTGATAGATTATTTATTGACATGTTCTGTTTCAAAATAAAATAATAGCAAATGCCCATCATCAGGTGCATGAGTCCAGAGTCATGTCAGCTAGAAATATTGTATTTCTAACAAAGAAATAAGCCTGTTTGCATTTTGTGTGTGTACTTTTACATGGTGAAAAACTTAAGCAATTTAGAAATGTTTTTACTTGTCATTTAGATTCTGTGTTGTCTCTTTTTAAATGCGGTCTCTGTATATTGGCTGTATACTCATTGAGAAGTGACAGGAAATGTGAACACTGAGCGTGTGACACTGATTCATCAATTTTACTGTGCCCATTATGTTTTCAGTGCTACTAAATCATATCATGGCTTAATGGGGCACTTATTTAATTCCTTTTTAAATGTAATTTCAAAGCTGCTGGGGTCAGCCACTGCCAAATTCAGGCTGTGTTTGGAGAAAACAATGTAGAAATGTGAAGGAAGCGAGGCATTGCAACTGTTGTGATGGTGCAGGACCAGCCAGACCTTTTTAGATGGAAGTAGTCCCAATGTGTGATTTATTTATTTTGATTAGGGAAGAAACACACAAACATGCTTCTTTTTAGATTGAGATGTTGTGACAGCACCATCACTTAGACAGGTTCAGCATCTCCTTGCTACTGAACCATCTTCCCTAGGGTGTGCAGTTGTCAAAGGGATGTTAATGAATGCATTTTCATGGCTAGAGTTGGTAGTTGGTCAGCATTTGTTAGCGTAGCACATCAGTCATCCTTGGCGACTATGTCAGTGTGAATAATGTTTCAGTGAGTTGTATTGTGCTCATGATGGACTGACGGCTCTAATGGAATTTGTGTCTATTGCAGGAGCTGGAGGCAATCAAAGCCCGGGTGAGAGAGATGGAGGAAGAGGCAGAGAAGCTGAAGGAGCTACAGAACGAGGTGGAGAAACAGATGAATCTCAGCCCCCCCACCAGGTGCGTTTTGTGTTTTTTTTGTTTTTGTTTTTCTCCTTTCTCCCATCTGTCCACATTCTCTCTCTCTCTCTCTCTCTCTCTCTCTCTCTCTCTCTCTCTCTCTCTCTCTCTCTCTCTCTCTCTCTCTCTCTCTCTCTCTCTCCCCCTCATATCATCCAATTAAGGAAGTTTGTCACTATAAATAAATTGGCTCACAGTAAAATGAATTATCGCAACCACTTTCAAAATGTACATTGAAATAATAGTTCAGATTAGTAATAGGATATAAGGGTAGTACAATTCCTTGTCTTTGAAAACCACCCACATGTTGTGCTGGTGTGCAAAGACTTGAAAGTTATTTTAAAGTTAGACAAAAATATGCAATTCTATAGTTGGTACCTGAGTTAGTTTAATAAAGCATGTTTTATTAATATTATGTTATTAATTCAGCAATACTGCCCGCATACTCCAGCGTGCGACTTCTTTCAGACTCGCACTCTAATAAAATGATCACTTGACGCTCAATCTACAAAGCAAGTCGTATATTATAGGACAGTTAAAAGTTTAAAGTAGTGGTTCATTTCGCTAAATTGTAACAAAAAATCAAGAAACAGAATGATGTTGAATGAAGGTAATGATGCAGTACTTTCAGGTATATGTGTTTTAATTTAGCAGCCTATGTAACCCTACACCAGATTCAGCTAATACAAAACCCAGGGAACTTCCCTCAATCCTGACCTCAAATGGGAAATTTAATGTTGCCCCCAGACCTGTGTTTGATACACTGCTCTTCCGTTCTTGTCATTTGATGGACTTGCCAGTTGTAGGTGCACTTTATTTCACATTAGATTGTAAAACTTCTGTTTTGAAATATTTTGTGGCTCATATAGATTTGTCCCCCCCCCTCTCTCTCCTGTGTAGTCGGCCCCGTCATCATGTCCATCGAGGAAAAGATGGAAGCAGATGGCAGATCGATTTATGTCGGAAATGTGAGTTGTGTGATACAGATGCTACTTTGGACACATTGTCTTGTTTACCGTTGCAACTTCTTGCAGATGTCGTTAAAGCAAAAAATCTTCAAGGAGGATTTTGACTCAATCATAAAGTGCCTATAAAACTCACCCCCTTTGGACTTCTTTTTTGAGTCTGAAGATTGGTATCAGCTTTGTGCATCATTCTGGACTATCTGAACTAACAAGATAACTGAATGAAAAGTAATTGTCAAGTCCTGTAACAAATGCTTGATTTGATTTGGATCATGGTCACTCCAGGACTTTGATATTGTTTGTTTTTAAGTATTCACAGCACTCTTCAAGACACAAGGTGCTTCACATGACAAATTTAATGACTTATCATCAACTTTGGGCTGTGGTCTTGCTGGAAAATGACTCCCAAGTGCATTGTTTTAGTTTTGCCAAACAACATGTAGTATGATGACCACAGTTGATCAGTTTTATCTCTTAAGAACATAGAACCAACTTTTACTTTCAGTGTCTCCTGTGTTTTTTCTAGCTAACAATGGCTTTCTCTTCGCTCCTCTGCTATAAAGCTGCAACTGGTGATCTTTCAGTAGCCTCCCACACTGGCACCACGCTTTTAGGTCAGCCAGCTATAGACACAATTAAAGCTGTGCCATATTCTTCCCATTTTTGGGGGGGATTAACCTCACTGAGCTGTAAGGGATATTCACTCACATTTGTGTTTTAAATGTTCCTTTGTTTTCATGATTAAGTTGTTTTTTAAGAAATTGACTAACAAGCAGTTTGACCCTACAAATGCAAGGAAAATTAACCCAAAGATCCCACCTTGATGCACATTGGTGATCTCACTCTATTTACTATCTGACTCATATAAACACAGCCCACAGCTATAATGAATACTGGGCTTGTAGAAACATTTTGATTGCTTGTCAAAGACGTTTGACCTAGTTCAGTGTCAAATCTTGATTATACTTTGATTTCATGTTGTAGAAACTCCAAGGGGGTAAATACTTTTTATTATAGTCACTGTACTTGATAATTGAGTTTCCATGTTTTTATGCCTCAGCCTCTTTATATAAAACTTGGATTGTATCTTCTGGGGGGTTTTTTTTGTCTTAATTTAGTACATTATAATTGACGTAAACATTTAACTTTGAATCTTGGTCCAGGCGTTCATAAAAATGTAAATGTTAAAGCACAGGCGGATGAAAAATAAATGAAATCTTCATTTTAAGTGCACGTGCTCAGGTACTGGTGCTGCAGCTCTCTTAATGCCTAACATTTATCATCTCTTTCTTCAGGTGGACTACGGTGCCACGGCAGAAGAGCTTGAGGCTCATTTTCATGGCTGCGGTTCAGTAAACAGAGTCACTATCCTATGTGACAAATACACAGGGCATCCCAAGGGGTAATAAACCATTGTATACTTTGCACTATGCAGTGGAAAAATGAGTGAAGGGGCAGTTATTACAGTGATGTGTGGAAAATGTAACAAAGTCACACTGTTGGCTGAGAAGTAACAGAAAGTCCCACTGTGGGTGGACAGATTTTTATTAAGCACCAGGACAAATAACATTGCACTACAGCTGAATGGTTAAAGGAGATTTGTTCTTTTTAAAATGTTCAATCTACATTTTCGTTTTCTATTTAGATATCTATAATAAATCAAGATACTAGTTGCAGGTTGGTGCTTTTTGTTTGCATTTCAGTGCTTGTGTAGTTGAATGATTCATTTTTCCCTTTCAGGTTTGCCTATATTGAGTTTGCAGACAAAGAGTCTGTTAGGACAGCCATGGCTTTGGACGAGTCCCTTTTCAGAGGAAGGCAGATAAAGGTAAGAGATTTCCGGGCGCCCGGTTAGCTCAGTGGGTAGAGCTGGCAACTCATGTACCAAGGTTGAGTCCTTGCTGCAGGGTTTGAATCCGACCTGCGGCCCTTTGCTGCGTGTCATCCCCTCTCTCTCTCTGCCCCCCCTTCCTGTCTGTCTTCAGCTGTCCTGGTAAATAAAGGCAATAAAAGCCAAAAAATAAAATAAAATTAAAGCTAAGAGATTTCCCCAATTTTCAGGGAGTGCAACTGGGAGCTTTTCACATTGCAACAGATCAGAATGACAGAAGTAACACCATTGTGTGGAAATAAGAAAAGGGCAGCGTGACTGTTTAATTTTCTCTCCATTAGAAGCATAAACAAGATTATCCCTTGTCTTCAGAAACTGGCTTCATCATTGTGAATTGGCAAACTCAGAATACTGGGTGCATTTAGCAAATGAACAGACTGTAACTGAAATAATCAGTGACTGCCACAACAACATAGTTGCAGCATCAACACCGGTGGCTCAATGTATCTGATGCTGATGTTTGGAGTGACAGTGGCAAAAACTACTTCAATCGCTCAGCCATCAAACTGGCAGAGTGGCTACTGTCTCCTTTCTTGTTTCTTCAGACTAAGAGTAGAGTAGGTTTGTGTTCCCAACCTGGGTTTGAATGGAAAGCTTTATATGCTGTTGTCACTGTGGCACATGATTAGGACCACTAAGATAATCCTAAATAGAGATTTCCAAAATTGTCTTTAATTCTCTGAACACAGAAGCTGTTTAGTTGAGAACCACAAGACTGGATGTCGTTGTTCAACTGTCCCTTGCCTGTGTTTTGCTCCTCAGGTGGGCGCTAAGAGAACAAACAGACCAGGCATCAGCACCACAGACCGCGGCTTTCCACGGGCTCGGTTCCGGTCACGGGGAGGAAGCTTCTCATCACGCGCACGCTACTACAGTGGCTACACACCCCCCAGAGGCAGAGGACGGGCCTTCAGGTGAGCTGACGCCGAGGTGTCTCACTTCTGACACTGTGGGAGAACACTACACCTGCATGCACTGCACCTCACTTACCGTTTACACTGAAAGGACAGGGCAAACAATGCAGACTAGCAGGGCCAGCCAGGATTACCAGCTGGTGTTTAAGATTTATGTAGATAACAGTTATGATGAATGCTGTTGATATTTGTTGTAAGATGAGGGATTCAGCTGAGGAGCAAACAGGGGTTGGTCTGTTGATAAACTATTTTACAGAAAAGCGCCAATATTGCTGTTTTTGGCTCCTTGTATTGTGCTAAAAGGAGACGGGGACAAGGAAGCAGATCTCCTTTTGGAGGAGTCCCAGAACATCTCCATTTGATATATGGGAAATTAAGAGTTAATAAATTGGTACTTTAACTTGACAACTAGTTCTTAAATATTAAATCTCTAGGATCAGCAAAATTACCTTATAAGCTCTCGTAAAACAGGCTCTCCTTTTTGGAGGAAATGGGTGCACACGTAGCACATGCTGCTGGTAATAATACCCACAGTTTGTTTCTTTTTTTTAAGCCAACAAACTGATCGAGGGCAGGTCTGAAAGTTTCCCAGTGGATGACGTTTGTCACTTCGCTTGGTGTCCAGAGTTAGGTTTTTTTCACTCTATTCATAGACTGATAGTATGGTGTAAGAGAATTTTTTTCACATTGAAAGGATTGGATAGACTGAGGAAGAAAAGAAATGAGAATGGAGATGTAGAAAAACAAACTTCCTTCATTGTCAGGTAGAATAGGTAAGTACAGGAGAGCCAGGGAGCATTGTCAATAAAGAGGCAACATTTCTAAAGGTCTATACACTTTAAATATTACAGCCATATAAAGAATTAGTCTAAGATTTAAACCATATTTCATCAGGGTGTCAAATTCATTGAGATGTGCAGATTGTGTTAACTAATAGAAACACAGGAGCACAAACATGTTATGTGGGTTAGAAGTCACATCTTGTGGGACTGAGGGGCTCATTGCATGCCACATTACACATAACCATTTCAATAGAGGCAAACTCAGACTCAGTGCACATCAGTTTGTTCTTCCCAGGCTGTTCACACACCGTTGTTTGGGTTAGTGCCAATGCCATTTCCTGCAACTTAATGATAACACAAAGTTACTGGTGCGAAGCTCCGGTAGCTATACTTAATGTTTTTCATTTCTTTTGGAAAGATTGGGATGTCATTTGTAATTGGACCATTTATTGCTTAGCTGAGAGGTTTGGGCTCTGTGAGATCAGTACAGCGACCTGTAGCATCGCTTCACTACTGCAGCATTGTGTCAGTTGTGTCTGCTGCTCCATCTCATCTGTAGTGTTTAAAAACCTGTTGCAGCTGGAAATTGCTTGTAGTCTTATTTCTTTCCTTTTTTAAGACCTGTTAAATACTCATTATTGAGCAGCATAAAGAGCCTGGTATTGATCAGTGTTGTGCACTGGGATTCTGGTGGCTTTTTACCTACCGTTTTTCAATGGGCTTCACTTCAGAGCTCTGCAGTGGGGTCCTGTGAGTCTTTGTAGTCTAGTTTCTATTAGGCCACATGGGGTTTGCCACTGCAAACTTTAAGTGTTTACAGCATGTGATCTAAAATACTCGGCAGTTAACTTGAGCTGCAGTTTCTATAAATGCAATGATGCATAAATAATCTGAGGTCATTTAACAACATAACCCAGTACTGCCCCTGTATGTCAACCGTGGCTAGGCCTTGTAGGCAGAGAGAACTGAAGGCTACAAAGAATCTCACTTTAAACTCCATATAACCCCCATAGAGCTCTATCTGTGCCTTGTTTTTTTTCTTTGAGACTGAGAAAGGAGGTGTGGTGCCAAATGTGTTGATCAGCATGCCAACTTCCCCACACATGCACTGAGCTTTGAGACAGAGAGATTCTGATTTGATCATCCCTGCAAAGCATCTGGAACCTTCAGGCATTGGCTGTTGCTTATTACTTAATGTTCAACAAAGAACGTTTTCCAGAAATGTGCTGCAGCAGTTATTTTGGAAAGAACATAAAAACCTTCATGCAGAGGTTGTTATTTAAGTGATTTAACAGTTTGCCAAGTTCTTCTGTCAAGCCCCTATTTATTCAATTGTATCTGGTGTTTTTCTTGTTACAATTCTGCCCTTGCTCTTGATTAGAGTATTTGTGCAGTGAATTCCCATTCCAGCGAGGCAGTCTTTTATATAACCACAAGAAAGGGTTACATCTCTATTCATTCCTTTGTGTGAGAGTGTCTGAACCTCAAGGTCAGAATCTCTCGAATCACTCTGTGTACTTACCCCGGCCACTCCCACACATACCAAGAAACCCTAACCCTGCCAGCTTACTCGGTGGGATTTGGCCCGAGCTGCAGGACAAGGCACACAAAGACTTGAGAAGCTGAGGGGGTTTTAATATCAAATCAAAAAGTACTGGTATTAATTGATAGTTTATTAGCTGAGAGGTTGTTAGCATTGTTTGCATTTGACTTTAAAGGCTTTAAGTTAGCTTGTTGGATTTTATCTGTGGATGAGAGATATTGTGATTGATCTTTGAAGCTCTGCCTGACTGATTTTAAATTATGTGATTAAGATTGGACATCACATCCAGCAGAAGGGCAGAAAAAGTCCATTAACCTCAAAGGGCCGGGCTTAAAAAATACAAATTAGACAAATTAACAGTTAAAGTTTTGAATGTGCCGCTCACTAGCAGTCAGATTGAGCCTGGCAGTTCCAAGGTCATGAAATGATTTCTGCTGTTGCCAATAGTAAGACTGTACTTAGAATAATAGAAAACAGCCTCAAGGGTATCACTGATAACTGCATAGTACATCTTCCATTATCTTAGAGCACTGGTTAATATGTAATCACCCACAGAGAATAGCATGCATACAGTTGTTCCACTTGAACTGGCCTTCATCACGTCTTGCAGAGGAGAGCAGAAGGGCTGTTTTGCTTTGCTACATCAGGAATTCATCACTAGTCCACTTTAGACTGCTGCAGTTGAACAGAATCGGGCTTAGTGTTGAACCAAATAACACTTTTCACTGGTGCCTTGTCTTGTTGTGGGAACACATCCATGGTGAAGAAAAACACATTGAGAGTTCAGAATCTTTGCATTGACCCATTGTGTGCTTGGGAAGATTTCACAGTGCCTGGCTATGGTCCTGCAATCACAGTCTGAGAGATACGTTTCTTAAAAGTATATTAAGTGTTGATTGGCTCGGTTTATACGAAGTTCAGATTTAACAAGGCCACGGCGAGTGTTGTCTGTGCAGGCTAAAGTAGTGCCTCATCTGCCAGACTTTAATGGTATTAAAGCACAACACAGCCAAATATTGGCCTTTGTCTCGCGTCTCAAACGCTTGCACCTTGACTGAAAGCCAACAACCAAAGATGATCATTCATGTTTAAGCGCACTTAAGAAATTGGCCTCTGGTTGCAAAAAGTATTGTCTCTGGTATTTCATCCATTAACATCATTGTTCTCGTCATCTTCCCAAGTTGGCATGGTGAAGAGCAAAGATTTTGATGTGAGCCAGAAGGCGCACACACTGTACTCGTGATGTGGAAGAACCTTTTTGCTTTTCCTTTGCTTATGTAGAGTGTATGTCCTTGCATGTACAGGAAACCTACCCCAGCCCCCCCCACCCCCCACCCCCACCCCCCCCACACACATGCACATACACAAACATATATACACTACACACATTCAACTCAGATTCACCTTTACAGCGTTCACTCCCAGAAACGAGGGTTCATTACTGCAGCCTGATCTCAGCATCTAGCCCGACAACCACTGGTTTCAGTCCCAGTGTGACCTTTTTTATGTTTTGTTGCCACTGAATGGTGTGTGAGTGTGAGAGTGACGAGAGGGGATGATGTGTGGCTTCTGCTGCCTGGCTTTTCCTGTATGTGTCGGGCATTGTTTTGAGTGTATTATAATGATGCAGCTGTGAGTCCTGTCCCCCAAATTGTTGTGTATGTGTGTGTGTATGTGTGTGCACCGTGTCTTGCTGGGGGTATATGTGTGGTGCTGTTTGTCCTCTTTCCCCACAGTGACCCCAGAGGTGGCTCTCGCAGAGAGAGACGGAGAGAGAGAGAAAGAGGGAGAGAGAGTGCCTTTGCTGTCCCCTCACACCCACACACTGATTATTATATTAATATCTGGAAAATAAACACTTTTCCTCTCTTTTACAAAGCTGCTTTCAGCTTCTTTCAGCACTGTAGTCTACTCTTCCAGATTGATCTGTTGTAACGCAACACCTTGTAAGATCAAAGGCACAATACCGTTAACATGGTATGTCTATTTAGTGATTTGTGAACACTGTCCTAAACATTCTGTCATTCATTTTTGATATCTATAAATATATTCTTTCCCCTTCAGTTTATTTCTTGGACTGAAATTTCAGCAGACCCTTTCTGTGCCCATGATCACACACATACACATATCTATTATATCACACCAGGAAATTGGTGTCTCCGTCTTCTTAAGCCAACCAGAAAAAAACTCACCCTCTTTTTCTCTCTCTTTTCCAGGGGCCGAGGGCGAACAACATCGTGGTATTCCCCTTACTAAACACCCCCTCCCTCCCTCCCCAACACTCCCTTACTATCAACCCTCTCCCCCTCTCTGTTCCAATTTAAAAAAAAAAAAAAAAAAAACAGAAAAAAAAACAGAAAACCCCCCAAAATCCCAATGAAAAAAGTCCTCCCCTTCCCCAACAATAAAAGAAGAAATCCCCAGAAGAGAGAAAAAAGACAAAAAAGGAAAAAAAAAAAAACACTTCTCCTGGACAGAGAGACTGACTGGCCGCAGTGTGCGATTGTGTGTGAGCGTGCGTGTGCGGAGGTTGATGCGGTCACCCCTGGTAAGGTATACGTTGGCCATTGAGGAAAGAATACGGTGGCAGATTTCTTTATTTGTTTTTTGTTGGTTTTGAGGGGTGGGATGGGGGGGAGAGAAGATGATGGTATCTCAGGCTGCAGATGTGTCTCCTTTGGTCTGGCTGTGACCTCCTGCTTTCACACCATCACCAACACAGCCCACCTACTCACCCTCCACCAAAACAAGAGAAAAAAAAAAAAAAAAAACCTGTGGGGGGAAAACGGCAACAAGAAAATATACTGTACTTTTTTTTTTTCGTTTGTTTTTAATGTACCGTACATATGTGAAATTTCCACTAGCCAGAGTATTTGTTGTGTTTTAAGTTTGTGGTTTGGAGTATATCATTACCTCCCCCCACCCCCTCCCCCCCACCCCTCAACCCCTTTTGTGTCTGCCGTTTTCTGCCCCCTCTCACCCCTACCTTCCATGCATTTTATAACATGCTTTTTCTTCCCCTCCCTCCTCCTCCTCCTCTTCTTTGGCTCATCACACCATGGATTGTGTTTTTCTCTGTCCACTGCTCTCCGGGCAGTGATGGACCTTCAGTGTTCAGTGGGATTGTACATGCATAGATTTTCTTTTTTGTTATTTGTTTTTGTTTATTCTTCTTCGTGGGCGGGGTTCCTCGTTGTGCTGCCACTCCCCCCCCCCCACCACTCATCCATACCTGTCACCTCCAACTCAGGCATGGCCAAGGCTCCTTTTTATTCTTTTGACAGGCATCAATGTTTTTATTTCGTGCAACCCCTGCATCCCCTCCCTCCCCCTTTTTCCCCACTCCCCCTCTGTGTTCCCTGTCTCCAGTCTTTCCTCCCCCCCTCCCCTGCCCCCCCCTCCTCTCTCTGTATATTAGACCACTTCTTGTCGTTTCAGGTTTCAGGACCAGTGGAGGCTGACGACCCCTCCCCAGGTGGCGCAGGCCCCCCCCACTGTCTCCGCAGCGTCTCTCTCTCTCTCTGCTCCCGCTATGCACACTCACCCCATCCTGTCCGTGTGGGGGGGCGGGGGAGGGGGGCAGGGCGACCACAGGCCCACCGCAGGGGGCATTTACTACAACAGCAAACGCTGATGATGCTTTTAGTCCCTTTCACACTTCGACTCACTCACACACACGGACCACAAACACACGTACACACACACACACACACACACCTGTTCAACATACACCACAGCACACTGCAGTACAGGCGGCACTTCACAGGCAGCCAACACAACACATGATTTATATACAGAGAGCTGAAGCCAACATAGCTGAGTGGCAGGCAGGCAAGTTTGCGTGAGAGTGAGGAAGGCAGGACCAGAGACGAGGGTGTTTTTTGGGGTGTACAGTGCGGACCTTAAGGCGCCCCCTTTCTCTGACTACGCGCAGTGCAGTCACGGCTTGTCTGAGGAAGGCTGATGAGCTTACGGCATTGATTATTAATTTAATAAATGGAGTGGGCCGGAGCTGTTATAGGGTGGGGAAAGTCAGGGGTGGGGTTTGTGTGGAGACTTTTTCTTTTTCCTTTTGAAAAGGGGGAGTGGGTTTGAACAAATGTTTTGCTTTTTTTTAATTTTTATTTTTAACCCATGAGTCTGTAATTAGAAAAAAAAAAAAAAAAAAATAAAGACATTGTGTAAAAATGAGACTGTGTCTGTGTGAGTTTGTTCTGCCCTGACTGCTTCTCTGGATAAGTTTAATAGTATCTACATGTGGTTTCCTAATGAGTAACATTAGGTGGTTGGGGTGTAAGTAGTCAATCAGTGAAAATTATATTGATTATCATAAAGGAATTACTGATATCATGATAGCCACCCCCAACACAAAGACCCTGAAACCCAAACAGCAAAATGAAATTAATTTAATTTTTTTCTGTGATTAAAGGATTTATATGAACGCATTAACAGACTGCACAAAAGGCAGGGTTAATGTTTGCACCATGCTGAGTGTAACCTAGTGACACACATACTGGTGTGCCTGCTGCACCAGCAACTCTGCTGCATATAATGTCCTCTCTTTTATCACGGGTCTCCTTACCGGGGGCTAAGTAGCCGGAGCAGGAACAAAGGAATCTGCAAATTCACTCAGAATTACAGGTTTTGTCCTAATAGATAGTCATGTCTGACGAGGCAATGTGACTGCCCTCTAATGGAGATAAATACAACAACACCCAAACACAAGAGTCAACAGTAAATGTTTATTCTACAAACAATGAAAAGGTTGTACACTATGCAGAGGGGGTGGGAAGTTATCGCTGGTTTATTGGTAATGACATCGCCCGGCTGAAATCCTCCTCATGTCATCATTTGGTCTCCTTACATCAGTGGACATCATGTTCCAGTTCATCTGTGCTTCTTAAAAGCTGTGGAGAACGACATGGGTTATTATTATACAGGAAACAGTTCAAATGAAAATAAAAGCACTAATCCGTGGTTGTTTCTTTTCCATTTCTCAACATTGTACAGTCGTGGAGAGGTCCTCTTAATCCACATTAATAGCACAATTGTTTTGTTCTTAAATCACACAACACCTGAATCATTTATAAACATTTGGTTCTAAAATAAGAGAAACTGACAATTATGAGTTAAGACAATTTAAGTTAATCAACCATAATTTGTTTTTGTCCATTTTTTGTTTTTTTTAATTTCAGGAAAACATCCCGTATATTTGAATGCGCTCACCTCTTCTTTTGGTTTTCTTCTTCATGATTTTCTTCTTTTTCTTGGGGCGAGGGTTATCCCCATCCTGCACCAATAAAGACAAAGTGTTAGAACCAGCAGCCACATTAAGAAGAAGAACGTGATCTAAATAAAAACAGCCCACAATGCCCTCATTCATCCTGGACGGAGATGAGCCTGTTAAGCAAGATTCTTCTGAGGCTTCTTATGTTCAGTACAAAATCTAAACATAGCACATGGATTTTCCAAGTCCTCTTAAATACATTTAGCTGAATGAATTTTCCACATCTGCAGGCGGTGGAACAGACTATCAGCGTGAGGTTGGCTACTCATTACTCTCACTCATTAGTCCTTTTTATGATGGCGGACTGAACTGAGACAGGAAACAGTCCAGAGAGGGTGGACATGCCAAACCTGCGTAGGCACAAAGTGTAACCGCTGCCAGCTCTGCCAGCAACGCACCAGACAGCTGAGTCACCGAGATACACAAATGTATGACTTCTTCAAAAACACACAACGGATGTGTTTAGTCCTACGTTAATTATGCTGCATAATAGTAAATATAAATAATACGTCCAGTCCAGACTCAGTCCAGGTCAGTCTGTGTACTGCTTGATTAGAGCCTGAAATTCCTGCCCTATCTGAGCCAAACTGTTCCGGACCAAAAACTGCCATTTTCTACCAACAACAGTGTTTCAACCTAGCCCAGTGAGTGAAATGTGTTCCATTGTTGGTGTAAATATGTCACTGCGGTGCTCACCTGCCCGCCCTCGCCGCCCGTCAGTGCTGAGATATCACTGAAGTGTGTGATGCCGCTCAGCTGGCCGGACATGGACATCATGCCTCTCTTTTTGGTGTTCTGGCGTTTGGGCATGTTGAGACGCACCATCATTGACTCCTCATAATGTTTCCTGTGAAGTAAAAAACATAATAAAAAGTTATTTTTGATAGAAACTCAAATCATAATATAACGATAAATATAATCCCACTGTCTTGCTCTACAACAGATCTTTGTCTGCCTACTGAAATAAAGCGAAGGAGTAAACACCTGTGGAGTTCCTCGCGGCTGTCCCGCTCACTCTGGAAATCTCTTCTGTCCCGGATCTCCTCTGGTGCGTCGCTGTACTGCTGTCTCAACTCCTGGATCACAGAGCTTCTGAGGGCAGCCCGCCGCTGGCGCTCTGCCTGGGCCTTCTTCCTGTCTGCTTCTGTCATGTCACCGTCTGGAGGAAACAGGTTGAGATGAGAATTTGTGAGGGGGGGGGTTTGATACACGTGAACATGGGAAAATAGCACAGATAAATGCTTTCTAAATTAATTCTAACAAAAGAAGCAGAGTGTTGTGCTTCACTCCTAATGTTATTAACTTTCCACCCTCTTTAATCAAATGACTAGAAGGAGATTTTTTTTTTTTGACAAGCAAACAAAGAAAAACCTGTTTAAAAAGACAAATGACATTACCATAATGCACTGCGGCAATCTTTGGCGGTACATATTTCCTGCCACTAGAGTGGGCTGCTTTCTTCTCGGCCTTGTTCTCAGCTTCACCTTCAGACTCCTCAGATTCACTCAACTGGTTGATGAAGCAAATAGCAAAGTCAGTCAGACACTTATAAGACTACATGTTCTTTTTTTATACTTAATCAGTAAAGTTCATTCATGATAAACTCTGCCACCCAAATAAAATAAATCTGATTTAAAATGACCACGACATTGGGCTCTTACTTTGCTGATGAGATTCTCAGGATTCGGACGCAGCTGCAGTGGGTCGTTTTCAGCTGAAATATAAAAAAAACAAACATTTTTATATACTGAAATACTTGTGAAATATGGAAGGTAGGACATCTTTGGTGGATCCATGCTTGGCAACCAACATGAAATCAGTCTTACCTAAACTGCCAGTGACGGCTGTGCGCACCAATTTATCGATCTGGTACTTCAGTTTGTGGTCTAGCGGTCGCATCTTCTCCATGACCTTTAAAAAAACAGGATGGAAAAGCAATAAGATGCTGTGTCAGCGGGACAGATGAGAATAAACAGCTTTACTATTAGTGCTCTGTTTCTACAATCAGCTCACCGTTCTTATGGTGACCACTCTGTTCAAGGCTTCACTGTCTTTTATTTTGCCTCCTTCTGTTTTGACGCTGATCAGGTGAGTGAGGTCTTGAAGGTAGAAGAGCAGCAGGTGATACCGAAGGTCCAGGAAAGACAAACCCTGCAGGGAGAGAAGATGGACAGAGAGTCAGGGAAGGCGGTCTATCTGGTCCAGACCGGAGTCAAATGGTTTGACATTTGTTCATTACAATTTTTTAATGAATTTTAAAGTCCAAAATGTTTTTCTTCTTGTTCCTACAGTGTGATGTTTGAAGTTCACTGTGCAGAGTGATGTATGTGCAGAGGTTGACACCAGAAGGATGTTTTCACATTCATGCTGAAAGTGGAACGTTTCTCTGTGCTCACTGAAAATATATATATATATATATATATATATATATATATATATATATATATATATATATATTTTTTTTTTTTTAAAGGGGCGGTGCTTATAAGCATGATCTGTGACATCATAAATAGCTTGTAGGTCAACCCTGGTCCACTAAACAACTTATACAAGTGTGTTGTAGAAACTTGAGGCCACCAGTGCACAGACACTGAGAATGGACTTCACAGTGAAGTAAGGACATTATACTTTTTTTTTGCAGAAATAACACACACTATTGTTCCAAGCAGAATATAAATATATAAATATATGTCTTAAAACATGTGTGGAGGGGAGCTTTAAGCTGTCAGTTACACATGCCTCCATAAAACTATTTCCCTGAAAATAGTCCAAACTCAACCTCGCAAAAACCAAACCATGAAAGATCTTTAAAAGTTAGGAATCTGGACATTACATCGCACAAAGGCAAGAGCAAAGCATATCCATGTGTGTCACCAGATATAAAGACTTAACACATCAGCTTAATATCAAATATTGATGCAAAAGAGAGCAAGGAAGAATTTAAATCAACCTTCAATTGTGTACTTTCACATGTTTGCAGTGAATCAAATAACCAAAACCAGCTGATTCTGGCCAAGAGGGCCAAAAAGCCTCAGCTTCACTGAAGATGTTAATCCAGTTCATTATTTTATTTATATCATTAACAACAGTTCTGATCAAGTCCTTGCTCACCTTCGATGTCTTCAATGCTCCATCTTTGACTTGTGTCAGCAGATCACGGACATGACTCGTAACTGAGGCCACCTACAGAGAAAAGAGATTCAGCTTTTATTCAGACTTGTACCTACACAACCTCTATATGATCAGCTGGTTAAAGAGACACAACATCAGTCAATGATCAATGCAGCACCAGGATTATAAACCGTTATCCTGTGATATGTCACCATGAGCTCAGAGTACGCTGATAAAGGCCTCAGAGCAGTAAAATGATAAAATAAGATCACAGACACTTCTCACCTGTTCGGTCAGACTTCTCAGCAGCTGTACAGCTTTGGACAAATCCCTTTCAATTAAATCCTGTCAGAAAGTAAAACTACAAGTCAGAAATACAATGCCAAGAAGGCCTGCTAACACCCTTTATTTCACGAATGTATCAAGGGAGTATTTTAACGACAGCAAAACGTGGCTAACGTCAACAAATGCTCCTAAAAAGTAAGTTAGCTGGCGGCTAGCTGCTAGCTTAAGTCACTACTGTCCCAGCCTTTAATCACTGACCCGGGACAAACCCGGGTCAAACCCGGGTCAAAGCCGGTAAAGTACACAGTGAACTCTCATACAGGTATACAACGTGAACAGACACTGTATAAAGACACAATACATGTTTTATTAACTAGCAGCGAGCTCAGCTCTACTCACGTTGTCAACAGGGGCAGCCATTTTGATCTCAGTGTAACTTACGGAAGCCGCAGAGGGACATTAGTGATACAAAAGGTCTGTTTGTTTGCTGTAATGTTGCTGTGTTAAAATGTTAGAGCTCATACTGCACCAGTGTCCCAACAAAGAGCCCAACATAAAGTTATTAAAGCAAAATGCCTCAATTAGTCCTTAATTATTATTAAAACAGAGAGTGTGTGTGTGTGTGTGTGTGTGTGTGTGTGTGTGTGAGAGAGAGGGGGGGGTTATGGGAAGTGATGGTGAGATAATCAGAGGGGTACCTGTCTGTCTGTCTGTCTGTCTGTCTTCAGAGCATTTTCAGTCGAACTGTCAGAGGAACCTGAAGAATATTCAGAGAGTTTGTGGAGAGCTAAGTCATGGTAAGCCAGATCATTACTTTATTAGTGTGTAGATATTAAACAAATATACCTCTATTAATGACTCTGGGAAGAAAAACAGATAGGAATAATAAAGTTATAGTTATAATGGAACCAGGTTTTTGGGTCTCTGAACAGTTAGCAGAGTAAAAAGTAAAGTTAGGAGTTACTGTTAAGTTATTAAAAATATGTAATTTCTATACTGTGCAGATAGATTGAAAAAGAGGAGGTGAAGAATGGCAATAATCATAGGTTACGGCTACATTCATACTCACATTATCGCTGTCAAATTGTATGAGACAGTTCGAAAGAGTTCATATTCTAATAGTCTGCTGTTTAGTTTTTACTGCGCTGTTTTTTGTCAGTGTTTTGTGTTAATGTCGAGGTGCATTTAACAATAGTTAGTCTATTAATCTGCTAATTATTTTCTCAATTAACCGATTAATCATTTGCTCTATAAAATGTCAAAAAAGAATGAAAAATGCATCATAGCCAAGGTTTATATATTAAAATGGGTTGTTTCGTCCAACCAACAGTCCAAAACCTGAAGTTTACTGTCATAGAAGACTAAGAAAATAAAACAGCAAATATTCACATTTGTGAAACTGGAACCAGTTAATGTTTTACTGTTAAAATGACTTAAATAATTAACTGATTATTAAAATTGTTGCTGATTAATTTTCTACCAATTGACAAATCATTGACTCATTGTTTCAGCTGTACTATTATTGTACCTATAAATTGTCAGTTATTTGCCCCAGCAGTGCATCTGTCATTTGTAACAATTGATTTTGTATTGTTTGTTTAGTTAATGATAGAAATTTTACCACCAGCTATATATTTAGAAGGAGCAGCCAAAACGTCTCTTGTTCATTTACTTACTTAATAATTTCCGTGGAAACCCAACCGTCCATCCTCCCGTAGACGTCTGACTTAATAAACTGCCTTCATCATAAAAAGATTAGATTTACATATTTGTAGGCAGTGGTGAAAGAATTATTAAGATAATTTACTTAAGTAACAGTAAATAAAAAAACTTAATTATGAGTAAAAGCCCTGCAATCTTTCTTGAGTGAAAGTACACAAGTATTATCAGCAAAATGTACTCAAACTGTCAAAAGTAAAAGTACACTATATACAGCGGTATGTGAGGCCTTTCAGGGAGTTTTTTTAATTAATAATACCAGGACAATAACATGTAAGCAGCTTTTTACTGTTGTCGTTAGTCGATTGAAGCTAATTAAAATACATTATATATGTTGTATAATAGTTTAATCTCTGTTTTAAAGAAACCACTAGTTGTCAGATAAAAGCAGTGGAGTAAAAAGTACAATATTAACCACTGAAATTTTTTTAGCAGAGAGCAAAATGAAACTCAAAAAAGAAAAACCTAATTGTTTTCTGCTTCCGACCCCCTGCAGATGTCTGATTCCAGGGTGTCCTCTGTCATCCAGGAGTGGGCGACCTCGTACCCGGGTCAGGCCCACACCCAGACGTTGAACCTTGCCACTTCCAACCACGCTGCGTCGACCAATCAGCTGGCTCAGATGGACATGATCCCGTACAGCCAGTCTCAGGGGCTGGTGAGAGTTGGCGGTGATGACAGAATGGCTGAGCAGATGATGGGGCTGCCTTACCTGCCGTACACCACTTCCTGTCTCAGCAACACCTCGACCGCAGGGAGCACAAACCACCACCAGAGCCACGCCAACAATCAGCAAGTGTGTGTTTGTGATATAGATTTTTAACTTCCTCTTCATTTTCTACTTCCCTGCAACTTAAAAATATTTGTGTTTCTGACCTCCAGGACTTCTCCTCCTTCCTCCTGCCAAGTCTGCGGGCCCCGGTAAACAAGAGGAGCATCAGCAAGGACAGTGCAGAGTACCGTATGCGACGCGAGAGGAACAATGTCGCTGTGAGAAAGAGCCGGGACAAGGCCCGCAGGAGGATCCTGCTGACCCAGCAGAGGGCCCAGCACCTGCAGGAGGAAAACCAGAAGCTGCAGATGAGGATAGGGCAACTGACACAGGAGCTGGACACTCTCAAACATATCCTGTCACAGAGGCACCTGCATGGAGCTGAGGAGGGAGTAGCTGGGGAGTCTAGTATCTAGAACCACGTTTGTACCTGGTAATATCATCTAACTGTAGGCGTCATATTCATTATTAGTGTCTAGGCAGTCCTCAAATGCCTCCTTGTTGATTATTCACCAAAAGGCAACCATTTGTGAAAAAGTCACTTATAGAAGAAGTAGGTTTGAAAATGGAGCAGTTTGTGTGGATTCAATGGCAGATATAAGGCTTAGTTATAGCTTCATATTGTAAAATTGTGACGAGAGAAAGCATAACACACTGGCGGGGCTGTAGCGACCACTGAGGACATTGAGATCATGTCTCCTGGAAATGTTGGGGGTCATAGCAGCCAGGGGGAGTTTATATTCTACAATTACTACGTTAAGCCCTGTAAACTGTTGCTATACCTGTTAAGCTCTCGCACAGCACATATTCATTTTACACAGATAATGGTGGTAGATTTAACACTCAAACACACAGAAGAAAGAAAAAGCAGCATCTCCTTCCTAGCAGACAACTGTGGGATTTAGTTGGCTGACTGTCGCTAGCAGATTTTAAACCCTGTTTTAAGTAGCTTGTTTAATGTTTCCAGCTCTTTGGATGTTCCAGCCCGCAACAGATATTTTTCTGGCATAATCTATAATCATTTAGTTAACCCCAATCCCTTTGAAAACAATGCAACGTTTCTGCTCTTGTTAGTGTGCTAGTCAGCTAGACATGTTAACATTTGCAGCATACATGGGCAAATAAAAAGACACCACCATCCAAACTTTGAATGCATACATACAGTGTGTCTCTACAGCCCCATATGTACACCCCAACACATGGAGAAGTTTGGTAGGCCCACCAGACCTAGTTAAAGGTTAGCAAATGGTCAGTGAAATTCAGGGCAGTGTGGATTAGGTTTTACTTTTTTTTTTTTTTTTTTTTACAGAAAATATACAGTTAACTGAATAAATAAAATGTTTTTTAAAATCCAATAAATGAATAAAAATCAGAATGTTTTGGTATCTGTTCAGAACTTCCTGGGTGAGAGGAGAATTACTTCCTCAGTATTGCTCAAATTGTGGCTACAGCCCTGTACTTTAGAACTTCATGAAGCACCCAAACATTTAGTAGGAAGACATGAGATGGGTTTGAATGTAAATGTAAGCCATTGCACGTTCTAAACTTTCAGTGAGTGTGAATATCACAATTTGTAAAACAGCTACGTTAGATGGAGAAAAGGAGTTTAAGGAGAAGTTGGTGTACACAACAGTTATTTAACAAATCCAAAAATTAACTTTCCTGAAAGTTCCTGAGGACAACATCTTCACATCCACAATCCTCTCAGACCCTTTAAAAAGAGGAGCCCTCTGTGAATTAGACTGATTTGTTATATGATTTGATTTAACAAACATTGCCTAATTATCTACCTGACACTTCTTGTCATCGTCAGAGATGCTTGTAAGTGTAGTTGCCCAACAAGGTTACACCACAACCTGCGGTTTGTAGGGGGGTTCAATGAAATCTAAGTATCTCTCTCTGTATAATACTCTATCTTTTGTCACTAAACCGGCGTGGGATTACTTGAAATAATGCTGATATAAGATATGATTTTTAATGTTGTTGAATGTGTTTTATAATTTTATATTATTGCACTGTTAAAGCAAAACTTTGTCAAATATTTTCTTAAATAAACAAATAATTGCTTGTGCTTGGAAAAAAACAGTTGTCTTTTATATCTGCCAATTTGAACATTCTGACAATCAACCCTAATTTAACATAAAAAATATCTTCCAAGATGATTTAAATATGAAAGCAGCTTCAGTGCTTCCTTTACAGAAGCAGCTTTTGATTACAGTTCACTGCACCTTTAAACAACACATCTTTCTCACAGGAAACAGTGTGATATAACCCCAGTATCTACATTTAAGCGTCATTATTCTCATTCATTCTGCATCCTTCATCAGGGAACATATCAAGCACCTGGCACATTATTTACCATAAGTTGTCTACCCACAGAAACGGACGTCATGTCATGGACCGTTGTACACCAGCGGTTTCCCTTTGTGGGATGGGCAAGATTTCGACACAGCGGAGGACAGAGATGAGGAGCGTAGAGATAGTATCAGTGTTTCGGGCTGCCAGGGCCTTCCTGTGGCTGTGATGGTAGTGAAGGGACATGAAGATAGGAGACAAAAAGGAGGGGGTGGGGGCAACAAGCCAGACATTTTTATCTTTGCCCAAAACAATAGTTACAACATTCGATAAAATATTTTCAACACTGTTAGATAACTGAAAGCAGTGTGGGATTCTGGTTCCCAAGATGGAGGATCATATGATTCATCACTCTTGTGTTAAAAATAAAGAAAGCATTCATTCACTTCCTTTTTCAATGTCTAGTTTATTTGTTGTGTTTGCAACAAAGAAGACCAAATGAGACAACATGGATACAGATGTTCACTTCTCTTTTATACAAATGTTACTTTTTACGCAATGACAACATTCGTCACCGTTATAATTACTGACACAACACTTGCAAGACTTATTGGAAACATAAAAGCAAAATGATATTGACATCCATCACATCAGTATCTGTAATAGTACAAAGCTACAAACAGAAAACACAAGCCTCTGCTTGTATGAAATGACTGAAAGCTTGGACTTGAATCGCATATAAGAGGACCTCACATCTGTTGCATCAAAATGGATTCATTCTTACTGAATGAGAGATAGGCTAGAACAATATACTTCAAAATCAGGTAAATGTTTGATATAAGCCAAGAGGAAATAGATATTGATTGATGGTGTCTTATGAGTGTGTGTTGTATAAATACATGTTTAGGACTGGGCAATACCAGGATTTTGTCAGCTTGTAAAATACATCAACAACTTAAATAATTGACTAATTGAAAACCCACAAAATGTGATTTAAGTCCATAATAATCTGTAGAATTGTACGTTTAAACATATATGTTTCTCTCATTGTTCTTCCCCAGAGATAATTCATATTGATTATGATTGTATGCGTATGTATGTACATGTAAATAAGTTTTTCTTTATTGTTTGTTACTTCTAAAAGACAAAACCAATAAAATAGTAGTCATACAAAATGATAGGAAACTGTTTGGATTCCTTTGTTTCCTGTTCTCATTCATATTAAATACAGTCTACGCTGACTTTGTCCTCTAAATGTGTTTAAACTTTGTGTCATTTTCTTAACAAACACTTAATTTACAAAAGGAGAGTGAAAGTGTAACACAGGCTACCTCCTGTCTGTCATGTATTGAGCAGCACATAATGACTTCTTGTGTGACCGTGTCTGTTGAAATGTCCCGCAGCGTTGTGTGGGGCAATCTGTGGTCCCAGGACTGCAACATCTCTGCAGAGAGATGAAGAAAGACCGTATTTCACCTAATCCTTACCAGGTTACTCAACAGCAGCAGACCATATGAACCCCACCACAACCTCGCTGAAGCAGCTCCAATCATATAGCTGCTGTTAAGTAATGGCATTTTATGGCAGTAATAGAAACTGATTGAATATATCAACAAAGAAACAAAATAGGATTTAGTCCAAATATGGCAAACATAAACGTATTATTTCTATTGCAGCACTTCCACACTCCTCCACTACAACTCTGCAGTTAGATGCCTGCTTTCTTAGCTTTGGGTTCCCACCACACTTTCAAAATAGTTTCCATTGATGGTACCATAATCAATAACAAAGAAAGAAGCAAAATAAAAATAAAACACATTGTAATGATAAAGATCCAACTTTCTGATAGCAACAGAAAACTGACCACAAATTATCTATAATATATATATAGATGTTATCTTGGCATTTAGAGGTGAAGTGGACGCCATCATGGCCATGCTGTATCAGTGGCACAAACTGTCACCATGTAAGGAGAATAACATGAAATACATGATTTAATGGGTTTCTGTTAAAATGGATGGCTGTATCGCCGTTGTCAGAAGAATGAAGAGCACAGTCGTTCTCTATGATTGTGTGAAGGACTCTTAAAGGTTGGACACACGTGTGTGTTGTCCAGTAGAGACAAAGCCTTCCACTACTGGCCACTGCAACACCAGTGGAACAAACTGTATTAGTGCCATCAAGTGTAGTTTAGCAGTCATTACCAAATGTTAAGCTTAAACCGATGGTTTAAACAGTTGGGTGTATTAACTCGGAAACAGAGGAATAGGCACAGATGAACTTTTTCCCTTGCTTTTCTTTCCAGGGTACCAGTAAAATAAGGATAAATAAATAAAAATAATTACTGAAAAATATAGTATACAAAACCTAAAATAGGATGCTTTTACAGGTTCGTCAAATCTTCCACCATTTTCTACCTCTGAATAAGGTAGAAAATAAAGCAGAATTAGTAGTAATGGACCTGAGAAGTCAGCCTGTTGTTCATGATCAATAGAGTAAATGAAATGGACAATGACAGGGCATCTACAACACTGCTGGAGTCTGCTGCAGTATGCCAGAGGTTTAATACATATGACTGGAGACAAATGAGGGAACAGTGATGTTTTCCTGGCAGACAACATGTAACATTCCTCATCTATAATAGCAACATGTTAAGCAGTACGTATTCATGAGTAAAATCAAGTTAAGTGTATTAGACCTGTCCCTGGTGGTGGTAGGTGATTTATGGCTCCACCATGCGGCAGAGAGCTACACGGAGACCTTCTGCAGAGATAGTAGAGAAAAACAGATGTGTCACTCTGACACTCATTTTGTGTACTCTTTCTGCTGTCGATTATCATCACTGTTGTTGCTGTATATGCTTGGATAAAGTGTGCAATTTAAGTTTGTAACAAATATAGGTGTAAACAAAAATATTACCGCAAATAGTTCCTCTTTCTAAGCACATTTTACTTTACACACACACACTGTGAGCTTATTGTAATTAACATGATAATAAATGAAATGAATTGTTCCTAAGTTTAAAGTATAAACCATTCAGTAAGGGGAAGAAATAAACATTTAAATATGCATGTCACAACTTTAAAGTCTGTATTAAAGCAGACGCACACAAGCTTTTGTTGTTCTGATATTTTAGGTAGCCTAAAAGTTAAGTTATAAGTTATAAGTTTTATGGTTTTGGCCAATGTCATGCTTTCAAATCAACAATAACATAATACAATATTATAGGTCTACAATAACATAAATGAAAAGAATGTATCGGAAACAGTCAGTAAATATACCTGAATTAAGGAAGGAGGAATTTACTTTTACTTTTGCACATTCCTTTATCAGTACATTGCCCATTCCTGTAGAAAACTGTGCAGCTTTTACATTTTAAAAACATTTTTTTCTATTTATGTTTCTTGACTTTAACAGTTTATTTACAGAGCTTTACTATATTTATTGTAATGAGCACATCCCTTGTATATGTGAAAACCTACTTGGTGATACTCTGACTACAGAGTGATACACTACCTCATCACATACGATCTTCGACCGCAGTGAGACGAGGGGACGTCGCTTCGACGATCTTAGCCGACTCTTCCCGAAGTGTGCCGCCGCCGCCGGTGGAGCAGCTCGCCCCTATAAACAGGCTTCTCCCGATGCAGTTTTCCACCCGCTCTTTGTCCGTGACCGGCCGACTGACGACGCGTTTCCCTTTAAGATGATGTCGGACACACACATGCCTTATTTATTTATTTTCTGTAACGTCGGCAGGCAAAAACTTGGACTAAATAACAGCGTTAAAAACCCAGCGGCGGTGGGTAGGTAGAGGAGTGTAGCATCCCCCGGCGGGCATCATCTCAGGGTTTTAGCTAGCTGTGCCCGGGACTCACTGGAGTCCGGTGTCCTTGCTTGTGTCAAAGGCAGCACTGGTGTTAATGAGAGGCCACAACACTTCTCCGGGACAGACATGTCTTTTCACATAACAGACAAAGCGGACTGGCATCGAGGCGCAGAGGAGATACGGTGAATGCGGTGAAACTACTCTCTTCTCCCCCTCCTCTCTCACCCCGCAATGTTTTTGGATGTTTGACAACGGCCAGTAGGATTCGGGCTCACGTTTAACAACATCTCTACGGGGGTAAGTAACAGTATAGGTGAGCGGGTTTGAAGCCAGGCAGACGGTGTGATAGCAGCTGTGTGTCTGACCAGTCTGGCCGGGGCAGGTGTGAGTGTTGTCAGCCTGGCCCAGCTGCTTTACCCCCCGACCACCCTTATACATTGTCATTTTATTCCCCTCACTCTGCTGCTCTCGCTTCCACAGAGGCCAGCCAGCCCCTGTGTGTTACATTCCCCACACGTCCCCTCTTTTCCCACTCTCGTGTACAAGCTCTTATGTAACCCTATGGGATTCCTTTTTTTTTTTTTAAAGACTTCCTGGCCCTCTGCAAGGAAAACACAGCAGCACTGGCTGCTAGAGGAGCACCATGTGCACCAACAGAGGAGGCTGCTGAGGAAAGCACAGGCTGTTCACATTCCAGCCCTCAACTGGGAACACAGCCTGTAATACAGAGAGCTCTGGAAACACCATCATTTTACTGTTTCATGTCAGTTTTTATTTTATTTTTTATAAAGCCACATGAGTACCTGCATGCATAGCCTTTTTGTTTGACTTTTACAGTTATTTATTTCATTTTGCTGTCTCCCCATCAACCCACAGGCTACTGGCTGCTATACTCTTGTTGTGTAACAACTTGGTGGCTTTGATATAAATTGATATGCATGACCATAAAGCTTTGGTAGTATACTGCTAATAGCAGTATTCAAAAAAGAAATCAGTTGGTCGGAATTAGGGCTACAGCTACCAATCATTTTCTTTATTGATTGATAGTTTGCGTTCTGTCTATAAATGTCAGAAAATAGTGAAAAATGCCCAAGGTGATGTCATCATGTTGTCCAAACAACAGTCCAAAACTGGAAGATGTTCAGTTCACTCTCACTTAAGGCAAAGAAAAGCAGAACATCCTTCCATTTGAGAAGCTGAAACAAGGGAATGTTTTGGACTTTTTCTTGAAATTATTTTTTTATTGTTCAGTTGATCGACTATTAATTGGCCGTTCACTTCAGCTCTCTTTCATCTAGTCTGAAAATTCTCATTTTCTATTGGAACCCAACTGAAGTGTGCTGGTATGATTTCATAAACCCTGTACTAAATTTATTCTCACAGTTGCTGTACTTCAACAGAACTCATCTGTTTCAATTTGGTGTGGACGGAGAGAATTAGATTATATAAATAATCTGCTCTTGTGTGGTACATTACTCTTTAGTTCAGCAGGAATTTCTGGTCAGATTTTTGCTGTGAAATGAGCCATTGTGAGTTTAAGATGGGATCTCTTGCTCTGGAACTGTCTCCTTAAATTATTTGCAACATGTGGTCCAGCAGACAATAAACTGATGGATAGTACATGTGCTGAACATACATGAGCATACTGTATATATGTCAAGATTGCATGTAAAATTTGTCAAGTAATGCCACAATGACAAGATTTTATTGATACCAATGCCACTATAGATTTTGCTTAACGGTCAGATTCTTCATTGATTCCTGGTGAAGTTTTGAAAAAAGTAGGCATACACAACTCAGCATCAATGCATCAGTGTTTTATTATTACATTTTTTTTATGAAAAAAGGCATGCATGGGACTCAGGTGTGCAAAAGCTGCAGTGTTTAGGTGCTGTTTAATTCGGAACCAGTTCTCAGTTTGAACCGGTTCCTGACTCCTGTCCCTAATTCCTGGAATTTAAGCCGCTGCTGCGTAGAAAGATGTTTCCAGCCTTACTTGAAATGATCATTTTACACAGACATTACAACTAGCATTGTTGTCATCTCTCTTTGTTAAATGAAGCCACGCTTTGGACCACTTCTTCCTTTCCGCCTTCTTCTTCTTGCAAGTTTCCAGCAGCATAGACGCATGAATTTGCTGTCATTGTTTTGCACAACTGTCAGAAAAATATATTCACATCCAGACAAGGAATTGATGAGCTCCATCGGTTCCCATGGATTGGACAATTTGGAACTGGTTCTCAACTGGAACTGGTTCTGTATTCCCATCCCAAGCCATAATGTAATGAGAAACTATATTCAGATGTCTTAGCTGATCAGTGGAATCAGGCTTAGAATATGTGTTATTACATCTGTTTAAGCATTTAAGCTTTAAGTATATTTAAAAACATCTGTTTTAGTTGATCGTGTACACTCTTGAGAATGCAAAGTCCTGCTATTGAAATACATTTAATACACAGTCAAAGAGAAAAGTGTCATCAGTACAATCTACAGGCCTTTCTCACAGCAGACATTTTGACTTGTCATAGTAGGAAACAGCCCAGCTGTTCCATATATACATTATTGATGGCCCTGTTCTATGCAAGTGACCCAGTGAGTCCCAGAAGGAACAATACCAGGAATGTAGCCATGATAAATGTTATTATTTACACACGTTTTCCTACTGTAACATGTGAAAATGTTTGTTCATGAACCTGTTTACATCAGTCCTGTGTCAGGAGTTTAAACTGTATAATAACTCTGTGTGATTCTTGTCACTTCACAGAGCTCTCCCACATCTCCCCTGGGGACCAACAATTCCAACAACATCCCCCCCACCTCCATCTTTAACCCCCGCCCCACCCAATGATGACATCCCCAGACTCTCCCCCGCTGGTCTCCCCTTCCCCATGCCCTGCTCCCCCTCCATCCCTCCCCTCCTCCCCTGTGCCTTCCTCCCCGGCCCCGTCCTCCTCCTCCCTCCCCGCCCCACCCTCGCTGCCTCCCACGGGGGAGGTTATGGTTCTGGCTCTTGGCAGGAAGAAGCAGAGGGTGCTGATCGCCCTCTCCATCCTGCCCAACCTTTTCCTGGCCTTCCTGCTTTCTTCCGACCCCCTAATCACCCTCTCCCCGCCCCACCACTGCCACCTGCCGGGGCCCTTGCCATCGCCTGAGGTGCTGAACGCCTCCCTTCCCTGGGAGAAGGGGGAGCGGCCCGGGGACAGCGGGGGCCTGTCCCAGTGTAAGCAGTACGTCAACGGCAGCCAGTCGGCTGTGGTGGACTGCGACAGCGGCTGGGACTACAATGTCACAGAGGGGCTGAGGAACAACATTGTTACAGAGGTAAAGCTCCGGCCTGGGATCCTCCTGAGCTCTCTAATTATGGTCCCGTTCATTGTTTTGGCTTTCTGTGGGAAGACTGCCTTTTTTGTTTTTATGTATGCATTTAGAGTCTTAATATGCTGAAACCTTGTTTGTTTTTTTATCCCCAGGATGTTGTTGCTGAGCCCAGAGACTTCATTTTTGCAATGCCATGTTAAATTTGAATACAACCTGCACATATTTGTACCTATGAGTTGGACAGAAAGTCAGCTTATACAGTGTTTTTTTTAATGTCTCATCCCATTTTTAACTTTAAATGCCCTTTTATGTTAGGTTACTGTTGACCATTTCCCAAAGGGTACAATGACCCAGGCAGCCTCTGGTTTCCATTCTTCAGCTTGTAGGGCCTTGGATATTGCATCATGGAATTGAATTGACTTTATCTTGAAGTTAATTTTTGTTATGGCTGTGTGGGGCCAGGAGTTGTTGTGAAAACTCTTTCTTGTTGGTGCATTCAGGAAAATCTCCAACGTCAGAGGTTTCGGAGATCCCTGATTTCATTTTCCAATACAAGACCTCCTGTTTGATGTAGATAATGAGTCTGCGCTGTACCTACGTTGGAGGTATTCATATGAGACTGATGTCAGAGGCTAATCCCATTACAGGCTGATGCTGTTGTTCCATACACACCACTGCTAAACCACGTAACTACTTAGAATTACACATGATTATATGAATTAAACAAACAAAGTTCTGTTTAGTTTTGGTACAGTGCTCCTACACTCACCCACTCATTTTCTGTGCTTTCTTTTTCCTCCTTTTTGTTTCACTGGTAAGGAAGTTGGTTGGAGTTGGAACATCAGCATTATGTTATTAAAGTAGAAATGCATTTTCACTTTTGTCAAGATGTTCAAGCATTGTTAGACCATGGTCGGGAGGAGGGTGGTGACGGCAGATAGCATGACGCACGTGGACCCATTCAGAAGTGGAACTGCACATTTAAAGCTTTTTACACATCAGTGTCTGTTTATAGGTCTTAGGGATTACTGCTACACATGGGAAAACGGTTGTGGCTCCAATTTCCTCAAGCCTGGTTGGGGCTGAAAACTACAAATGTGAACATGAAAAATATCTCCGACCGTCCTGCAGTCGAGTTGCATTGTGGGTAATGTAGACTCAGGGTTTTGACAAGGAACAATATCTCTGGGCTGGTGGCATCGATCTTACTTTTTTTTTTAACTTGTAAAAAGCGGTACTCTTGAAAGGGGCTTATTAGACTTCCATTCAACTGTGAGAAGTGGGTTGTGACCTGTCACCAGGTTGGATGACGCTCTGTGACTCATTCAGAAATGTGTGTCTTACCTACGTCACTGTGGTCAAACTGGAAGGGCAGAGAAAGAAAGATTTCAGAGGTGAGGCATGTCTGAAATGTCAGAGTTTCCTTAAATATGTCACTCTGGAAAAACAATCCCTGCTCACAATCAGGTTACCATTGATGCACGAATGGATACAAGATACAACTAAATATTTTAATCTTTAAAGGTTATGCTTTGGAATATGATTGGCAGCAAGCATGATACCCATGGGTTCCTCAATAACTAACAGAGCAGGGATTAGAAATTCATTTGCTTCCGTGCTCTGAGGATTTGTATCTCCTGGCCACAACTTTGCATCTCTAACCTTTTAACGGTAACATACGTTTTCCCTTGATTATTGTATTTGAACAGCACACAGGCAGGTTAAAGATCAGCTACAGTGGAAGAGGGAATATTTTGTCACTATGACTGTTACCTTGCCTTTTTAAAAGGCATTGTGTCCGTCCCATAAAACACAGCAGGAATATCAGCAGGTTTGAAAAAAACAATTACGGGTAATTCCTTTTCCTCTAATGCTCATATTTACACAATCAATGCTCTTAGAGGATCACACCCAAATGAGAGAAAAATCATTTACTCAGGTTGCCAGCAGTACTTATTTTTCTCAGTGATATTTAAGATTTAAGTCTGATTCTCACATTTCTAGCTGCAGGAAAGAGCTACTTCAGGCTCCTATCAATGAAAGCAACCAGCATCGGTGTTTCCTACATGTGTTTGAATTGTGATAACAGACAGCCAACATGATAAATGCAGAAGGTAAATGCTGTGTTGGCACTATAGTGTGTCTGTTAGTTTGTACACTGCTTGTGGTGGGTTCGACATTTTGGACTTGCGTTATCAGTGCATGTAATAAAAAAGCGTTTCCTTTTTGAGAGCTGGATTTCATAGTAAAAGCACTCAATTGCTCTTGGTAATGTCTTTAACAGAGCCTAGACAGCTGCCCACTCAGGCTGGTGGCTCTGTGGCCCGTGTGTCTGCTTTCATTTCTTTGCCCTCTGATGTGGGAACCACACCCAGCCCTCAAGTCCGTGGTATTAGGGCAGTTTGCCGGTAATCCACCCACGCCACTGCAGCGAGCTGAGGAGACATAAATGCTGCCAGAGGAAGCATTTAGCAGAAGCATGTTTGTTCTTATAGACATACAGTGAGTAGCACGCTTACAGTCTCCTCCACCCCTCGCCTTACATACTGACAGTGACACGGACAGACGGACAGACATATTTGAGCAGAAAAGTATTTTTTTAGCTGTCATGATGATCTGTTCCTCCAGTGCTGCTTTGCTTTGCTGAGCTGGCAGTCTGGTTGAACAGGAAACAGGAAGACCACTGATCAGCTGCGCCTCCTCCCACTGATCAATAAATACTGTCACTTCATTAGAGGCAAACTCCATTTAACATCTCTGTGCTGTGGATCTATGGGCTGATGCACAGACAATAACTGGGTTGTTACTTTTTCTTCCTGCCATCAGCAGGATGGGGCAGTGCGATGAGACCATGGGATGATACACATTTGTCAACCCTCAAAAATGTCCATTATCTTAAATGATTTTTGTATGAATATAATAAAGTAGCTTGGACTGAATTGTAGGAACACTCCTGTATGGTTCAATAAATATAATAGCACCATATATATTGACGTTGCTATGTTAAATGTATTAATGTCACAATCAAATGAGAAAGGTGAAAAGGGGAAATGGGTTTAGGTTTCAGTCCCTCCCAAAGACACATACCTGATCTGTGCCTGAGCTTCTTTCTCTAAACCAGTCTGGGGAGTCTACAGACTGGTTTGTGTGCATTCTCCCTCCTCCCCTTGTCCAAAGCATTCCACCCGTATGAGCACTATGGGTTGCTATGCTGCCCTTTACCCGACTAGCGTGCAGTGTTATGACTCTATGCCTCAGCAACAGGACAGCTGATATTATGTGACAGGCTTTTATGTTTCTGTGCACGGGCTCCAATTATGCAAGGCCTTTTTTATCACCGGCCCTCTGCTCTCGCTCTCCCTCTCTAGATCATTAAAATCATTTTGCTTTCAGCGGGCCAGCAGACATTAGTCGAGCTCAGCTGTTAATGCAAATCAGTGGGTCGGCTTAATGTGATTAAAACTCAGATCTGAGAGTAGATATCTGTTTTGTTTTTTTAACTGTTGTGCTGACTTTCTACGTGGATGCACTATAATGTACAGCCACACGGCCATTTGTTTAGTAAATGCATTTGGTGTAAAACTACTATTACTGCCACTGCTGCCAGTACTATTAATAAAAACAGTAATACACCAACTTTCTCCTGACTGTCATGACCGCATACACAGTGATGTTATGAGGCTACATCTTCCTGTGTTTGTATTATGAGTCTAATGGATAGCGCTTCATTCTCTCAGCCTGTGATCTCCTTTTATAATCAGAGTCCGGTTACACCTGGGACCCATAATTATTAATCAATGAGCAGAAATCATTCACATGGGAATGACACAGTGAAAGCAGTGTTAAACATCCAAGAAGGACCAGTGTAAATCAAATTTCAGTGCTACTTCTGTACATTTTATTTTCTATTATAGTTTGTACCCACAGTCAACAGTCAACACACAAATATGGGCTGCCTTTTGAATCAAAGTAATTAATTCATTAAGTAATTTAATTTGCCAAAAGCATATTTCTCCATGAGTAATTCAAGCTAACAATCAGTGTGAATGCTCAGTGAGCTGATTTATACAGTTTAGCTCAGGGCTTTAAAACATGCACATAGTAAGGAAACCTATTTCAAACTCAGTGCAAAGCTCTCTTTTGTCAGCAGAGAGCTTCCACTTGTCTGTTTGTTGTCCTCAAAACGAGACACATCTGAAGTAAGTCTTCACAGACAGCTGTAAGTTGGGTGTCTGCTTTCCACCTTCATCTCTGTCCTTATGAGTTTACTGACAATTAACCAGTTTACATAGAGTCTGCTAGTCAGTCATCTTTTTGGCCAATATCAAACTGAGCTACAAAACAAGGGTATAAAGGAAAAGTATAGACATTACATGAAAGCATCTGTAGTAAAGTATGTGAAACTTGTTGCTAGTGATGTAAACTGTGATATTGATTCTGGATAACTTGTCCCAAAGCCTTTGGAATTGGAATTGAATTATAGTGTGTTGATCTCTATTTTGACTAAAAATGAATCACAGAATATTTGGATTTTCAGTTAATGAGTCATTTATTAAGAAAAAAAGTCAAACAGTTGCCAGTTACACTTTCTCAAACACTGTTTTTATGTGTTCTCTATAGTTGTAATTGAAAAAACATTTTTTGGGGGGTTTTGGACCTCACCTTGTAGTTGTTTCTTTCTCACCTATTGATTAAATAAAAAAGGATGAATTATTAGCACAACAAAATAATCTGACTCCTAACAGGTCATTTGGGTAGGCACTCGGGGTGGAGAACTTACTTTATAAGTTATGATTGGTTGGAATATTAATGAAACATTACAAACAACTCTTGTTGTCTCACGTGTGTTGCTGTACTGACCTGAATGGACAAAAACTGACAGACCCCCCCCCCCCTTTGTGTCTTTGCTGTCCAGTGGGATCTGGTGTGTGGTCAGTACTGGCTGGTCCCAGTGGAGGAGGTGTGTTTCATCCTGGGCGTCCTGACTGGCTGTCTTGGCCTGGGCTATGCCGCTGACAGGTAATACATGCGCGTGCGCGCACACACACACACACACACACACACACGCACATGCGCACACACACACACGCACATGCGCACACACACACACACACACACGCACATGCGCGCACAAACACACACACACGCGCACGCACAAACACACACACACACACACACAAACACACACACACACACACACACACACACACACACACACACACACACACACACATACACATACACACACCAGTGCCTCCTGTGTGTACTGGCAGTGGTTAAGACAGTTGCCTGCAGAAAGGAAGCTAATAGGTTATTGTGTCAAAACTGTGTTTTGTTGTCATGGCAAGTATGTGTTAACAGTGACACACACACACACACACACACACACACACACACAAAGTTAACGTGTTCCAGTACAACTCAGTCCATCTGTCTGCAGACGTCTGTGCTGTTTAATCACTTTGTTCCTCATTCTTTAGTCTGTCTCTTGTGTCTTGTGTCTCCTGACTTTGCAGTTTCACTACCCGACAAGCTCACATACAACACACATAAAGCACAAAAAGTAGGCCAGATGTTAATGTTCAGATAAAGTTAGCTATAGATTTACTATGCCTGCCGGTGGTTCCTCTATCAGTCAGTAGATGGTGGCCTTCAGTCGAAGGGGGGGGAGATATAGTGTCAAGCAGCCCAAATGCATTTTCATAGTATCACAGTCAGAAATAAATTAGAGCAAAACAAGCTGTTTGCTGCAGATAAACTAAGTGCTACACATAAGCAGTGCAAAAGTTACATTTGCAAGCGTTATTTAGCTAGATCTTAGAACCTCACGCAGTCTGCATTAGGCACACCCCGAGCACCTCAGATAACTGACGTAATAGATCCAGCCTGTGTCTGCTGTGTTGTCGCATTGAAAATCACACAGGGGAGCCTGTAGTTTTGGGGGAATTGTGAGGGAGATAATGCAAATGTAATCAGCTAACAGCCTCCATTAATTTGCTGACCAATTGAGCATAGCATCTGTTTGTAAAGACTAGTGAATTAATGCTGTCTCCTGGGAACGTGAACAGCACTAATCTGCTGGTTGGAAACAAAGCTGCTGCACACGCATGCAGCTGAAAATTGGCTAACTGTCACATTTAGTGATCAATTGGAGCCTCGAACTTGAGCTGCATTAAAGGAAGATTTTATATTTAAAAAACAAAATGAAGTATTGATAATACATTAAGGTAGTATCATATTTAAATAGGCTGTCTCTGGAATTCATCTTAAAAAGTTACATTTTGTTAAATTACGAAGAAGGACATCAGTTCACACATGAGCTCTTAATTTTGTGAATGCACAGTTTATGTTTTTCATTTGTCATTTTATCTGAATTATATCATTACACAAAATTAGGACTGATATCAACATTAATGGTCCATAACAGTGTAAAAGTGCAGTGTTCACAATGGGGTTTTCCATCGTAACTCTAACACTTATATTCACAGTAGACCAGTGTCCTACTTTCTGTTCTCAACCGCTTGCTGTTAATATTTAAGCATGTGAAGTGTTCTTGCTCTGGCATGATAAGCACTTCCATTGTATATGGTTCCTGGTGTTCATGTCCATGTTTTTTTGCTTTTATCTTGATAAATAAATGATAAATAATCTTAATTTCTTTTTTTAAATGATAAAAATTATTCTAGCTGGAACTATCAATAGGTTATAGTGGTTCTTCTAAAAACTCAAAGTGATTTAATACAGGTGTACTGATCTATTGGTCGGGTTGTTTTCAGCACATATCTCTGTTTCTCTGCAGGCTGGGCAGATCCAAGACTCTGCTGACCTCTCTGACCCTGTCCGTGGTGTTTGGGGTGCTGGTGTGCGTCTCACCGTATCCCTCTATCTTCATCGTCATGCGTTTCTGTTTGGCGGCAGCTAGTGCGGGAGTCTACCTCACTCTGTACATCACTCGTGAGTGTTTCAACATCAACCAAGACTAACCAAGACCTCTGTACCTATGCACAGCATTGATTTGAGCTAAATGCTAATGTCAGCATGCTAACATACTCACAGTAATGCTGACATGATGGTGTTTAGCAGGTGTCACATGTTCACCATCTTAGTGTAACAACATTAATTAATTGGCACAACAGGAACAGCTACAGGAAAAGTCAGGAGACCACCAAAGTCAGTCCTTGAATGTCTGTACAAAATGGCCCGGCAATCTCTGTCTAATACTCAGTCTGGACCAGAGTGGTTGACTGAAAGACCGACCATATATAGAGCTGTGCTGCTAGCTTGGCTAAAAATACTGCCTGCTACATCAAACAGACATACTCCATGAATAATACCAGAAATTAATTTCATAGTTGATGACTGATATTTTCCTTTTAAAGACGCATAAAATGAATCAAATTTTCTCTTCTTAGTCTGTGGTGTGCTTCTTATGGCTCTGTTACAATGGACCTGCTGATGCTGTGATTGTCCGTCAGGTCTGGAGCTGTGTGAACCATCTCTGAGGCTGGTGGGGACCATGCTGGCTGGGCTGATGACTGTTGCTGGAGAGCTGCTGTTGCTGGCCGTCGCCCTGGGCTGCCAGTCCTGGAGGGGCCTGCTGGGAGCCGGCGCCGCCCCATTAACACTCTTCCTCAGTTACGGGTATGTGTGTGTATTTGTTTGCTCAATTTTAGTTTAACCTTCAGTTTTTGTATTTGTATTCACCTTTTTAGGACTTCATCACAAGCATTTTCTTTTCATATTTAGATTTGTTTTCTGTGTACAGGCACAAGTGTGCACATGTGTTTATTTTTATGGGAAACTTCAGGCACAAGAGAATGAAGGAACCTGACAGTCTTTTGATAAAGTGTCTTGATGCCAACTGACTTTCTGAAAGCTTTGTTGGATCGTATTGATCTCAATCCCCTTGTCACACTGAGCCTTTTAGCTCATGTCAGAATGCATTAGGGGTACTTTGTTTAAGGTCCCCGGTCTCTCTAAGACCTCTGTTGCAAGATAAGCCTTCATTGCATTTTCAAAACCAAATTAACAGAGATTAACAGACGATTACTGGCAATGAATTGCAGGTTTTAATAAGAATGGAAGAAAAGCTGGATTAAGAAATGAAGAATTCTGCCACTTTCCGACCCACATTGGTTATTTTCCATGCTGAAGGAGCAAAATCTGGGTTACAGCAATAGAATCTGAAGGCATCTAAATAGCTATGGTGCTGGATAAAGGTCTGCAAAGATCAAAGAGTAAGCCAAACGGTTCTGTCTTTGCTCTCCTGCAGCATTCCTGGGGTATTTCCAGAGTCTCCTCGCTGGCTCCTTCTGTCAGAGAGATCTGCAGACATGAACTCCTTCAGTGAGAGAAGAAACTCCAACAGAGATGTGAGGGACGACGAGAGCTTCACAGGTGTGTCTGCAGAGATGGATTTTGATTCTTATTATCTCCCTCTGAATGGGCATTCAGTTTATGAAGGCTGCATTATTTATGGGTTATTTATAACAGTGCATTTCAAATCACGGTTACCTATCGCACACCGCTACTGAGAGCAGGTAATGGTGCTCAATTATAAATTATGATTTATTGAAAACACATGGTTCCTGCATTAAATTGATTTATAATAGAGTATAATGACCTGCAGCTACAAAATCAGAGCTGGATATTTACTGGGCCTTGCAGCAGTTCACATGTTGTTTTCAATGTATGTTCATATGCTTTACTTCCTGGCCATAGATCTCACTGCTGTATGTGTAAAAATTATGATAATAATTGCAAAATCCACCATTTTTTTCCTTTTCTTCTGACATTATTGAAACCCAATATGTAATAGTAATCAGTTTGGAAACCCTTCCCTTTACCACAAATTGTACTTGCACACAAGTTGATAAAATACAGAAAGGGCCATAAAAATCAACATGACCTTATCCTACACAGTGACTCCAACAAGAGAAAATCAAGACTTATTTTGGAATTTAATCATAGAAACAGAAAATATTAACAGTCATTGTATTCAGTCATGTCATTTACAGCTGCGGCCCTCCAAACACGACTAAAGTGGCATTTTTTGTTGTGAACTTCAGGAAAATGATGTTTATAAGAAAATTCTCATGAAATTGGGTTAAGTGATAAGTGTGCTTTTTGAGCTGTTAAAGGGGGGCCAGAACAGCAGGGTTAAGGAAAGTTTAATCCGAGCCATTATTTACTAAAGTTGGATTCAGATGACTTAAAATTAAAAGTGATCTTCACAAATGTCGACTCTACACCTTTGCTTCTACGTTTTGACTGACATTCAATGTTGAGTGTTAATGTTGCATTAAGCAGTTTATATATAAACACTTTTTTTATGGTGTGTTTATCAATGTCAGTCAACAGTTATATGTTGTCCTCTCCACTTTGCCCTCCCGGACGAGCCCCCACTTTGTTGCTCGAGGGTAGGACAAAGAGTAGAAGACAACACATGACTTTAACTAAATATTTAATTAACAAAACAATTTTACAATGATAATATGAAGTATGTCAATCAATACATCACTAGTGTCTGGCGTGTTTGTGAGTCGATACCAAGAAAATTCGAACCCAAACAACAAACCATATGCTCAGGGAAGAGAGAAAGAAACGACTCCTCCAGCTTATATAGCTGAGGAGCAGCAGGTGCTAATTGGTGATGCACTTCTCTCCTAAAAGGGAAAGACCAAGCCCAAACAGGAAGTCAAAAGGACTGTCACACAAACAGATCTTTGCAGTTTGTTATGAAATATTTATTAACTCTTTATACACATGAACATGTCATTCACAAGGGGGTTTAAAACTCATGCAGACATACAGCTTGAAGGTTCGTTCTTGACCTTGAAATATTAGATTTGTTGATGAATTTGTATTGTGTATGTATTACTGTATACAAATATAATTGATAGATATTATATAAAATCATTCACATTTCTGATTACAGCCCTATTATATTGTCAATATCTTATTTACTGTTAGTAATACTTCACAGGAGGAGGAACATTAACAAATAGATTAATAAACAACAACATCTGCTACATTGAGAGGTTAACATTAAGTGTTACAGTAGAATCTATTTGTATTAAGCCTGTTACAGCTACAGTATTCAAAGTTGTTAGTAAACAACCTCTATTTGACCAATAGGAATTGTAACAACATTGATTTAACTTCCCGTCTCTTTTCAGATAAAACAAATGACAGTGAGCTATTGATTAGAAGAGAAACCAGGTCAGGTCATGTGTTGTTGAACTGTGAATTAAAAAGAGAGCCTGTTTTGTCCTTGTTTGCTTGCTGCAGAGCTGGATTCAGAGCCGGCCCCCTCCTCACGCCCCCACCTGTCCTTCCCTGAGCTCTTCCACAGCAGGAACATCTGGAAGAACATGTGTGTGCTCGGTTTCACCTCGTAAGTCATCCCACACTCTTTACATTAATTTAACAACACAGCAACTTTGAGTGCCTGGGACTTTATTTACAGACCTGGTTGCTGCTGTGGTCTCATATTTCGTCATGACTCTTCCACTCTGAACCACTTTTCTATTTAAAAAGACTGCTTACTCTCTGTTTTCCTGTCCTTCCTCCCTCAGATTCATCTCTCACGGCATTAGTCACTGTTACAGCTCTTTCCGAGGTGACGTCAGAGGCACGGCCCCCAGCTTCTATTGGACGTACCTGCTGTCTGTGTCTGCAGGGGGCGGTGCTTGGCTGTTGCTCTGGGCGACCGTAGACAGGTGCGGTCGCCGTGGCATCCTGCTCCTCGCAATGACGATGACGGGGCTGGCCTCTTTGATCCTCCTGGGACTCATGGAGTGTAAGTGGGCTTTAGTTGGCAGTAGGATATTTGTTTTCTCAAAGAGTCAGATAAAGAAAGCTATTAATAGACTTTGCCAACAAGGTGCGCACAGTCCCCCTTCACCTCCCCGTAAGTCACCCCCTGTTGTTGTAAAAACCATTATGTGAGGCTTGTATTAGGATTAAAGGCCTTGCCTTATCAAATCCTAACTGGAATGAAGGTAAAAGTTAGTTTATTTGATTTTAAGCTCAGATTTGTGGTCAGATCATCTACACACCACTGACTTCATGTTGTGCTTAATGCATTATGAAAAGCAAACCTGCAAGCTTTGTGCATGGAAAAATACGTCCTCTGTGCCTTTGTCATTCCACAGCGTGGTGTGGAAACACACTCACAGTTGCCTCAGTCTCGGTCTCCCCCTTGTGGCTGAAAATGAGTATGACACTCAGTTTATGTAGGACACTGCAGTGGCAACAAAGTCAAAGCTGTGTCAGGTGCTGTGCTTTAATCATACATCAAAGGCTGAGGGGGCAGTAGCACTGACCTCTGAGAGGCTACTCACTGCTGTCTGTGTCTACTGTTCATGAAAGAAGTCTGGCAAAGTTTTAGGGAAAAGATTAGGTGGGTTGACTCAGTGTTCTGAATTGGAAATAGTTATAATCAATAGGAAATCATAATATACCATCAGAAAATCTTAAACAGAAATGCTGCACCTCATCAAGGTAATCCATAATAACTGAGTTTTGTCCTTCCGCCTCCACCTTAGATCTCAGTGAGACGGCCATCACAATTTTCTCAGTGCTGGGTCTCTTCTCATCCCAGGCCACCGCCTCCCTTTGCATCCTCTTCACTGCAGAGATCATGCCCACCATCATCAGGTAACACATACACAGCAACAGCTCTGCAGTCGAAAAAATCATTAAAAAACTGAAAGCAGTCTCTCTCCCATCTGCTTTAGTGAAAATATACTAAGATTAGAATATGTTAATAATGGCTTCTGTCAAAAAGAGCCGGCTCAGCCCATAAGTGCTGCCAAAAGGAACTGGGATGTGAAAAATGCAGTAAATCGTGAGGGAGCAGAGAGGAAATTTCCATCGATATCTATTAGTAATGAAGAGACATTTTCTGACATCTGAAAAAATCCTCATTAACTGGGATCACTCTTAAAATAAAATGACAGCTTAGCTTATCTTCTTTTGGAAATGAAGGAATAAAATGCTTTAAGATGAGGGAAGTTCAGGTCATTTATAGTGCTATGTATGAACTGATATTTCTCATTAATGTTTTTATACTGACAGGAATAGTTTGAAACTTGGAAATATGTGTATGTGCTTTCCTGTCGAGAATTTAATGAGAAAAGATAATATATTAGGTATGTTTTCATTAATGTATAATCACCTGATCTCCAGGGGCAGTGGTGTGGGCGCAGTGCTCGCCCTGGGCTGCGTGGGCCGCCTCAGCTCCCCACTCATGGACTTGAGGAACCACTATGGTTACTTCCTGCACCACGTGGTCTACTCCTCTCTGGCCCTGCTGGCCGTGCTGTCCATCCTGCTGCTGCCTGAGAGCAAGAGGAAGCCTCTGCCCCAGACGCTGGCCGACGGGGAGCAGTACAGACGCCCCCCGCTGGGCAGGAGGAGGAGGGACAATGTGCCGCTGCTGGCCACGCCCAACCCAGAGACTTAAAGGACCCCTGAAAGAGTGGACTGTGCTTAAATCATTCACTTTGCAGCCAGAACATTCACATAGATCATGTTCATGCAGCAGAGGAGAAAGCAATATAGAGACTTAAAGGTGATCAGACACTCTAAGCTTCCTAACATATCATCCTCTAGTCATTCCAAACGCAGGCGGTTGGGTTGAGTTGCCATTTTTCCTGCCATTCAGATGTGTGTAGATCTGACACACTGCGTTCACGCACACATGTAGGGAAGTCTTCATCCTTCATACCATCTCTTCATGACCAGACAGGGGGTCACCCCCCCACCCCCACCATGTGACACACCAGCATACACTGCTGCACGCAGTCCTCCAGTGTGTCTGTCGTAGAGATGTTAGCTGCTTACTACTGACACTCCAGACCAGATGTGGCGTCAGAGAGTAGTCGCAAATTATTCCTAGCATTTGTCTTAACCTGCATAGAACGTTTTTTGTCGTGTTTGCTGTGTACGACAACACAATAAGTGCTCGGAGGTGTGCAAAATCAAAGCAAGGTCAGTTTTGTATACTTTCCTTGTCACTTGTGGTAAAAGTTTCCCATCTGTCACTCCAAACAGGGACGGAGCAGAGTTCTCGGACATATGTTGCATATGTTGTAAGACTCCATTGGAGTTGTAGGTGTTACATGCCTTGTAAATACTCTAGACTTAGTTTCTTTAACTTCTTGGGGCATCTGAGTTTTGTTACAGTAAACCTTGTGGCTGGAAACTGTACAGTACACTATGCAGTGGAGAAGCAGTGCAGAGCACTTTGAAACATTCTTTTTAAAGGTGATTGTGGTTAATTTGACCAGAGTCTTCAAATTTAAGGGACAGTTTTATGAACGTAAATCAACTATTATCAAGATTGGGATCAAAACAAAACAAAAAAGAGGCCTTGAAAACAGAAAGGTGTTCATGTTCAAACTGTGTAAATCCAGTTAATGAATCTGGCCTGGAGCCAGGAATATTTATGTATTATTTATGTTGTTATTAAGCATAATCAGTAAATTATCCAGAGGCCTATTATTTTTAAATATTAAGCTAAATATTGTTAAATTGGGTTGGCATGGAATAAACTTTCCATTTTCTGATGTCTCTGATCAAATAACAGTGAAGCTGTTAACTGTCACAACATTCCTGCATGTTTGGAAGCACTGAAGGGCTTGTTTTTCTGTATTTCCTCAGAAGCTTATAGTTACTCAATACCTCTCTAGATGACCAGTCTCAGCTGTAAGAGAATAGACGGGTACAAACAAACTACAGTAGAAGTTATATAACCAGGCACATGTTTTTTTTGGTCAATGACTGAACTGTAGAAGTTTTGAAAGTGGTCATCTGTTATTTTGCCTGAATGTGTATTGATGCTGGAAAAAGGGCCCGATGATTAGGCTCCATGAGGTTTGAAAGGGAGCTGAGGGCCCCGGAGCTCCAAATTAACCCCCCCGATTCCTCAAGCACACACCAAGGATAATGTTTTTCTTCAAAGCTTCTTTATTTTGAGTGTTGGCTGATGCCATGTTGCATATGGAACAAGTTAAATCATGGTAAGAGAATTACCAAAGCATGTCGGTTTCAGTGCTTCAAAAAGGTCTGGTGTGTGTTTTGTGTGTGCTCGGGTAATTCTTCTTCTCAAGTGTGTGTGGGTGCCTGAGGAGGAAAGCGGAAGGGGTTTAATTTGGACCCTGATGTTGAGGAGTCATTAAAGAAATGATGGACACTCACCTTTGCTGATGGCTTCTTCCTCCGTCAGCCTTTGGTAGTTTTTTCCTCTGTATGTTGCACTTATACACTGATTATTATCACTATGATTAACTTGACTCGAGTAGTATTATGTCTGACAACACTGATGATCTGTTTAATGATGAGTGTGATGCAGTTAACTCTATAGCCTGATTTAATGTAAAATAAAACTGGTTAAATAAACAGGACATGGGTATTTTGTTTAAAGAGTTGTTGCACTACGAATCATTTGAACTTCTGCAACTGTACAAAAATCAAAGCTAAAACTAGACTTTGACATGCATGTCTCAGCATTTATTTCGAGGTGTTAAGACATTTACCTGTTAGAGATGTTTTTTGTGAAGATGGATTTATATTTAGATTGATTTGGATGGAGTACGACACTTTGAAGACACTTTCCAAAGTAAAACTGTACCTCTGAAAGAACAGGTATGTGTATTTACATGTGGTGGAAAGTCCATTTACTCAGTTACTGTACTTAAGCATCATTTTTAGGAACTTGTACTTTACTTAATGATTTTCTTTGATATGCTACTTTATACTTCTACCCCACTACATTGATTTGATTTGATAGTTACTTTGTGGATTGAGATTAAGAATACAAAATTATCAAATAAATTATGATGTATTATTGACAAAACTTTATTGATTCAAGCCATTCTGCAATATATATCATATATTTAATATATAATATATTACAATGATGGACATCAATAATAATTCAACAGTATACATTACTCTGAAATGGGAATTTTGATGCATTTACTTTTGTACTTTTACTTAAAAGTTTTGAATGCAGGACTGTACTATTGCTACTTAAGTAAAAGAGTACTTGTTCCAACTCTGTCGACATGAGACCTGTCTGTAATGTCGAATACACAGTAAATACAGAAGCCATAATAATCCCAATGAAAAAAGAAAGTATTGTTGTAAGAGTTACATATCTTAGCACGTACAGTCATGTAAACGGTGCACTATATCCTCACTGACCAGAAACAACAATCAGTCTCTGTCTACTTACAGTCATAACTTCCTGACAGGAACTTCTGAAACCTAAACACTATACATTTACAGTGTGGCAGTGTAACAGAATACAATTTGGGAAACGTATTAAATCTTCTCTTACCTTCAAATAGAGAGGTCTTCCTGGTGTTTCAACGAGAGGAAAGAGAGTTGAGAGAGAGACACAAAGAACAAAATGTGCCAACAAGGTGGAGTACATGAAGATGACTGAACAGCTGAGAATGAGGGCAGTCTTTAAGTTTAAAGCTGTCTACAACATAACCACTGGATTCTTTTTATAGAAAAAGGCAATATCAAGAAGCTTAAACAATCACTTTCCATCTCCTCCTGATCATAGTTATTATTTCTATTTGTACAACAGCTTTTTTGACACATGAATATGAACTATACACGAATAGCTGGTATTGACAGTATATACGAGAACCTAACGGCACAGCAGTGATCAGACATTCAGTGTAAGGGCAGATCATGTGTTGCTATTTAACCCACAGATCCAAATGTACCTCTCAAGCTGTTCAGCTAAATCAAACAAAGACACTTGAGAACGTCAGTGAGTTATCTTTGCTCTCAAGGACAAAAGGAAGGACCAGCAAAAAAGCAACGACCACCAAAAAAATGGCTCGGACTGTGCATCGTTGTCATTGACTGGTGGGAGCAGCTGCAGTCCTTTCAACACTTCTGGACAGATCAAACCTACATAGCAGATCAAGGTCAAGTTATTCCAACTGTAATAAAACAGCTGAACCTTTTTTTAAAAAATGTCAGTTGTAATTATGCAAACAGGACACAAACATAAACTGTACAACTGTACAAACTGTACAAAACCTTTAAAGCATTTATCAGAAAGGATTTAATTTATTAACTTCCTTTTCTTTATTATAGAACTTGGGCTGAGCCAGGAACTGTTACTTACTTGTGCCTCCAGTTAAACATTGTGTGTTTTAATGAACTCTACAAATACTGTAAATTTGACTAAAAGTACCGGAATTAAAAATATAACAGAGAAGCAACTCTTCAAAAACATGTTTTTGGAAGTAATTGACTCAAATTCTGTCAGATTGAGCTACTCAGAGGTCATGTCAAATCCTCAGGGTCCTGATGACCAGAGAGGGTCTCGGGCTACACAAAGTGGAGCCATGAAGGGGGGGACCAGGGAGAAAAAAAAAAGAGCTTTGGGCCCCTGTTTACCCTCTCTTTCTCTAACAAGATGCAGCCTTAATTAGGCAATGAATTCAATTACCACAGTCAAATTGCCACATAGTAAACCTGGAGCCTTCGGGACCCCTGAGGCTGTAGGGCTGCTTGCCCCAGATTCCAGGAGCTGAACTATGGACATCCATCAGAGTTGGAAGACTTCCTCTTACAAAATAAAGTTGAATTCATGTTAGTAAATTCTCAGTAGAGATTTCTCTATGTAGATAGATATTACTGAGACAGCTTGCTGACTTTATATCTCTTCTCTCTTTTAACTACTGCTAACTGTTGCTGGTGTTAAGAAAAAGTTACCTAGACTTGCTTTAAATTAAGAAACTTTTGAAACATTTAACATTTCTTGCTCTGCACAGATAAACTATGTTTTTCTTCTAATTGCACTTCCAGTTACATACAATGCATTTTATATTTGTGGTTTTCGCAGCAGCCATTTTTAATCAAATTTAATTTAAATGTTCAAATATTTGACCAGGGAGAGGTCAGGAGAATAAACTGAAGTTCAGCATTCTCTTCATTCCTTCACCACCACGAGTGTCTAGACTCCATCAGGGAGTTTCCTGTACTAACCACTAACCCTGTCAAATACAGTGACATCACAAAGCCGTCTAATCGCCAAAGACTTATCTTAATTGTGCAAATATCAATTCAATATATTTGTTCATTCAAAAATTAAGTCTCTCCTGATTTAACTAGAAGAATCAGAATCAGGTTTATTGCCAAGTAAGTTTTCACATGCAAGGAATTTGCCTTGTTGCATTAGTGCATAAGATTCACAATCAAGTGTAGAACAATATAAATAAAGATAAAACTACCACTATATACAAATATAAAGAGAGAATGTGTACAAAATGGCCAGATATTATGAGTAAAAAACTGTGCAGAAATTTGCAAAAAAACAACAACGAAACAATGGAAGTGCATTAATGTAATGCATACAGGCCAATCAGTGTCAGTGGGGGTCCCGGGCCTTGTTGATGAGACCACAGTGTGTTCTCCAACAGACAGTAGTCCTGTCTTGTCATGTGTGAGACTGACTGCAGAGAGACAAGTAGACAGTTGAGACCAGCACCCTAGACATCAGTGGAAGTTGACCTCCCGTCCAAGGAGATCACAGCTAATCGTCAGGTGTAAATTTGCGACATCCAAAGAGCTTCTCAAGTGGAGTGTTGAGGTCATGCAAAGAATGAAAACTCCTCTTACTATTAACCCAGTTAGCACCTTGTAATCTGTCACTTTCTTTGGACAGTAAAATCTGACAGGTATCTTAACCCTAAAGGAATGTGACACTGGGAGAGTAAAGAGGAGGACCAAAACCTTTTGACTTGACAGTTCGTCAAACCTCAGGGCCTCTTTCACTCTCCACAGTCTCTGTTTGAGGGATCTGTTTCAGTCTTGTTAGCTTTACACTTTTGCTTAATACTTTTCTTAAGTCATAATGAATTAATTATTCATATTGTTGTGTTTTTTTATTCCTGAGTAGTCATCAACCTCCATTTGTCTGTGAAAACTGTGTGAGTGAGTTATTGTTGCTACTATCATAATAACATATTTCCTAATTGCTTTGACTGGTGTTGATGATCTAAAGTAATATACCCTAACCCTATATATAATATGTATAATATATATCGTCCAACCATCTTTTTTATAAAAATGAGCAAACTCTTGGTTGACACCAGTTCATACAGTACCTTAATTTAGTGGCTCCTCCATGTATGGCCTTTAAGTGTTTATTTATGTCCTCTGAGACCTATACAAATATAAAGCACCTGTCACAGAACAATGAGAGGGCAAGGTCTGGCAATCAAACCAACCTCACAAGTGTCAGAAAGAATTCAAGAAGTATTTCACAGGTTTATCTTTGTTCTCAAGGATAAAGAGAAGGAACAGTTGACAAGACAGGTCAGAGGTATAGCTGTTACTCTCACTTGTGACAATGGAGCATTGCGACCTTGCCTCCGTCAGCAGAAGACAGGTGGATGTGCTCAGTCTCATGCATGAATTGAGGGATATGTGCATATGTTTTTCAGGAATGTAGTCAACAGCAAGGATGTTTAACATTGTGACATCTGGTGCAAACGTATCTAAATGGACAAGTCAGTTTTCAATTCAATTCTATGTTACATATTATTATAGGCCATAAAATTATTAGGAAGGGATGGGCTAAAATAGAACAAAGGCTGTGAAATTTACAATGGCTGACCTGATGTCATCACACCAGCACGTTGTCCTTATTGGGAGTGTGAGAACAAATTGTTACGAGCCTTAAAAGTCAAAGAGGTAAACACCCCCAACCTAAATATCCACATCATCTGATGAAGATCTGAATAATTAATTTCAGTGCCTTTTAGGGTGGGGCATCACCCTTTTAAAAGAAGATTGGAGGCAGGAGGCAAGTTACCAGACAGCCTGAGGGTGAGTATACTGTAGGACATCTGCTTGGTTTAACTGTAAATAAATGTAACGTGTTGAGAGGTTTGTAAATGGTATTTTCTCTGTATAATTTGCAACAGATATAAAAAAAACCATCTTGCGATAGGGGTGAAAACACAGGTGAGAGGAGACTAAAAGTGAATCTGTATTATTATTTAAAGCACTAACAATCATTCAGACAAATATTTAATCAATGTAAGGAAAAAATACTGTTTTGTACACATGTGAAGTGTATGTGAAGTCATTATTTGAACTGTACAGATTTCAAGATGAGCAGCGACTCCATTATGGCAGAGTTTGGGGCTGCTGCTACCTTCCTGAGAAAGTCAGATAAGGAGCGTCTGGAGGCCCAGACTCGCGCTTTTGACATAAAGAGGCAATGTTTTGTACCGGACCCTGAGGTGGAGTATGTTAAAGCCACAGTCACCACCAGAGATGGCGACAAAGTCACCGTTGAAACTGAATTTGGAAAAGTAAGTATGTCAGATATTTACACTGACTAATGTAAGTGGGAAAGC